AAAAAAAAAAAAATGCCCCTTTTCCCCCAATTTTCCCCCTACACAAAACAAAAAATTTTTGGTAAAGGATAATAATAAAAAAATCTTAAATAGGGAAAATCTTTCTTACATTTCCCCCCGAATTTGAAATGAAATATTGTTTTCGTGTACAATTTTACAATTTAACGTTTCAATACACAATTTGATTTTAAGCGGCAGCGGAAATCACGTCTGCGCATGCTCGAAATAAATTTTTCATAAAATGCTGATTTTTATAAATTATTTCTGAATTAAAAAAGTCTAAAAACACATTTTTATATTTAGATTATAAAAATTAAAACCAATATAAAAACTAAACAAATTAATTTCTCGCACCTGCTCAGGCATGCTAATATTTATTGGGCTTGCCCGAATGGGACCCATATGGGTCCCTCATGGCTTGTTATATATGTTAATGCTACGATTATTATAAAAGATAATTAGCAATTTATGCCAAGGTGGTCACACTATAGCTCAAAGTAAACAAGTTCTAAAGAAATAAATAAACGAAAAATCGTTTTTCCTTTATAGTGCTGTAATATGGGTCCAATATGGGCGTACCCAAATGGACTTGCCCATATTTGGTCCCATATAGGTCCAATATGGGCATACCCATATGGGCTTGCCTAGATATAGCCCATATGGGTCCCATATATGCATGTTTGCTGGGTATAGGTTGCATGTAATAAATTCGTGTACTTGTAATATACCAGGATGAATTCCATTGACAAGAAAAAATAAATCTTGTTCCGTTCCGTTCCGTATAATATCATTAATCCTATAGGATATTTATACTTTGCGGAACGAAATGGAATAGCTGTTTACAGTCTCGAAGATTTTATCAAATTTTAAAAAGTTTATTAGAGATGGGTATTCAGACGGTTCAGTTCGAAAAAGCCCTTGATCGACTGTTCGCTAGGCAATTTCAATATTTCATTATTATTATTTAATATATTTACATATTAGTAAAAAAATGCTGTGCCCCGTGTGGTGCCTCAATGTTTGTCCCGTTCCGTTTCGTTCCGTTCCGCAAAGTATAAATAGCCGATATACCGACAGAGCTTTATCCAAATGTTGACAAGTGTCTGCATTTCCTTCCAGCAATGCCAGTGCTGAACGTTCATTCATCAGCTGAAAAAGGCTAAAGACTTTCTAGCGCTCAACGATGACCACTGGTCACCTCTCTGGCTTAGGACTTTTGCAGATCCATAGAGACAGGGTGATCTTGGCCGACGTTGTTGTAGATAAATTTGTGTTTGTCACTTTTATTTGCTGACACGTACGTCATTTGTTTGCGTCTGTTTATTCAATGTATATCCTTATTTAACGTTTATCAAATACCTTGAAATATTATTATACGATCTAGCTATTATATCTAAGACGTTCTCTAAATCACGTCACATATAACACAAGTCATATCATTACATAAAAAGTTATTAATGATAATATTAAATTCCTTCGGACTTCATTTTGTAATTTTATGGACCTCAAATGGGCATGAAAATGCATAATGTTAACATCTCTAAATGGTGAAAATCAATGAGCTTCCGGGGGATTCGCCCCCTGGACTCTGCCCTGGACCTGCAAGGGGGCCTAAAGCGGCCCCCTTAACCCCCTGACTGAGCGTGCGTAATATTGATTTCGGCCAAGCTACGCCCCTGATTACAAAATAAATATGATTGTATTAGCCTATAAATCGTGACAAAAAACAACAAAAAAACGAGAACTTATCAGATACCCTTAGTTTATGATGTTCAATAAGTGTCTAATATATGATATGATTATAACACTGGCAATAGCTTTCGCAGAAGCAGTGGGTCCATCGCAGCGGTTTTATCATGGCCGTTTGCTGTTGTCGGTAAGTATATGACTGAATTTTGTTTTATGTATCACCTCTAAATCAAAGAACAACAATGGCATCTCATACACAACAGGTTAATTGCCTGTTCAACTCAAGATGAGTTAGAAAAGAAAACCAACAATCTCGTACAAAAACATCGGAATTTGCATTCTGATTTTAAAAGAAATTTAAGTCAGACAGGTATGTTATGCATATACATGTAGTTATGCCAAGGATAGGAACAATAATTCTATCAATAAGTCATACTCATGATAAACAAAAACATGTTGATGATAGAGATTTATTTAACTGAAGCTTTAAGTAGGTTTAAAGCTCATGACTTTAAAAACTTAGTAATTTGATAATTCCTTTTGTTTCTCTTTTCTTTTGAGGCCCCAACTGGGTAACCCCGTTTATTCACCCCGTAATAGCTATGAGAGGGCCGGGGTCATCCCCCACATACCTTACATTATTTATACATGCAAATCATATTGTAATTTGATAATTCCAAATTTATAAACTGCATTTCAATTTATGTCTTACCAAACTTGTCATACCATTTCTATAATTGGACTTTTTATCATTGAAAAGTTTATGCAAATGAAACATAAAATGATATCAAAAAATTGTTATACCGGTACCAGACAGAAATTTATATAAGATTCAAATGTCAGCAAGACCTTTGAATATGTATTATATAAGAAATTGTAAGAATCCATTAATGACATAATTGAGCCATGCCACGACAAAACCAACATAGTGCATTTGCGACCAGCATGTATCCAGACCAGCCTGCGCATCCCCGCAGTCTGATCAGGATCCATGCTGTTCGCTATCAGTTTCTCTACTTGTAATAGGGTTGATAAGGGAACAGCATAGTCCTGATCAGACTACACAGATGCGCAGACTGGTATGGATACATACTGGTCGCAAACCCATTATGTTGGTTTTGTCATGGCACGGCTTTATTTTCCAAAGGCGGCAGACAAAGAACACCTGCCCTTTCCTTCCTTACAGAGGCTGTTATGACCGTTTTAGGGAAGTGTCCGTGTGGCTGGGGTATGTTTGGCAGAGCATACAGATTCCACCATGATGGCCATAGTTGACAACAGGTGATTTATATTTTGATGTTCAATTTCTTCCTATTTTTTTAAAATGAGTATGCATACCAAATATTTCAATATTCAAATCATATATAAACAATTATACTAATTTAATGTACATGTAGGCTCATGGAAGCAGTGACATTATGATCATAAAATTTATAAGGGTTATCACAGGAGTACCTTGATCAGAAACTTGTATTTGACTCAAGTTAAATTTACTAGGTAAAGATCTTATGAGGCACAGAGATCCATTCTAGTAAAAACCATGAGAGCAAACTTCAAGTTAAAGGTCAAGATTATAGAGGATATTGAATGAGTGTAAGGTTAATACTGAATTTATTGAACAAGTTGAATTAAATTATATTATACCAGCCTCTGACGAGCATAACATTATTTTATTCAAAGAGTTCAATAAATTCATTAATGAATTTAGATTGATCACATACCAAAAGTAAAGACTGTTTAAGGAGAAAAAGAATCATTTTGCCTTGATGGCCTATTAGTTAAATCTAACATTTAAGCCCATCTTATATCACTGTATGGTATGTAACACAAATGAACTTTGTGTCAAAATATATGCACTGCTGAGCAATACCATTTTTACGAAGTCGCAAAAGTGGCAAGGGTATGTGATAAACACCCATAATTACTTAAATAATAATAATTTCTATGTCTATATCTAACTATGAATTACTTTGTATATTTTAACAGTTCTGAAACTACTGTCCAGCTGCCAGAGCAAGAGGTGCAGTCTGAGGAAGTTGTTGTAGGAACCAGGTAATGACATTAATGTCTTAATTACTAATATTGTATCAGAAATAGTCAAACTTAATTTTATAAATATAAAAATGCAAATAAATGTCATTACATTCATTTCTGATGATCAAGTGCATGCCTGATAAATTTGGCTTTATCAGTCACCTTCAACTTTATCAGATACCTCATCAATACATATTGAAATAAAATGAAGAGAATGGAATATTTTTACCTCTTACTAGTTTGAAAATATTAACTTAACAACTCTGAATCAAATAGATTTAAAAAAAAAAATGATATGAATTTGGCATATCACTGCCAATAGGATAGAACTTGCCTGATTCAATCAAATTTACCAGGCTCGGCACGTAAAAATGAACAGCCTCAGCACAACCTTGCCCTCTTTTCTTTTTTCTAAGCCTTGCCTGATAAATATTGTTATATCAGACACTAGTATGGTATTCTTTATTCATTTGTAGACAAACTGTTTATACTACTCTCTTTATACCATGTCCAAGTTTTTTTTCAAGTAGTATAATTCTTGATACTTTAGGGAGATAATAAAAAAAATTAAGTGAAGCTGAAGTTTCAATTATACTGCAATTCTTCTCACTGGTATCCCCGCACCTACTATTGTTGTGTGAAGTTACATTGAAATATAATTGATAGCTTAAAATCATATCTGGACAGCCGGTGTTAAGTATATTATAATCAGTAGAGTTAAATTAAAAAAGTTCAGTAAGGTGCAAGTATGATTCTTTGATAAGTCACTTCTTCTCACTTGTCTTTATCAATATGTCAAGTTCAAATAGGGATCTGCAGGACACATGTAACGGCCGGCGGAAAAGGTGACGACGTTAGGCTCTCTTCTATTCGGGAAGCACAAAATATAGTTTCAGTAAAGTTTGTGTTGATTAACAAGCAAACTGAATTATATTATTTGCAGGTCTCCGTTGCCAGTGAGTACAAAAAGCAAGTACTTCACAACAAAATCTACTAATCACTGTGAGATATGTTGTAATTCGAAACAAGAACTTCACCAACTGAAAAAAAAGAAAATTAGAACATGAAATTGAACTCCTTCAAAAGAAACTACATGTACAAGAAGAATAATTATTAGTGATTAAATCTTAAGTTACAAGGATCATTCAAAACTTTATTTCACATACAGGTTTCCTCATTTTTATCCTACTTTAACAACAGCGATCAGTGATCACATGTGTCGCCTCATGATAGCCAAATGCATGACATTACTCGGCATATGTGAGTAAAAAATGACTTAAGATCAAAATGAGCTAATGAAACATGAAATAAATAGGAAATTTGAGCCGCGTCACAACAAAACCAACATAGTGCATTTGCGACCAGCATCCCAGCAGTCTGATCAGGATCCATGCTGTTCACTTACCAACCCTATTACAAGTAGAGAAACTGATAGCGAACAGCAAGTTTCCTGATCAGACTGCGAAGACTGAGATATCTTTCACTTGTAAACTGGAATAAAATGTCAGTGTAAAGCATTGTCAGTGTATCAAAAGGGAAATTACCTTTCAAAAGTAAGTTTCTGCAACATAGTCTCTGTACTTCAAACCATCCTGAGGACCACTATGCACTATAGTTGGAGGTTGATTGTGATCATTATGCAAAATATCTAATGGCATTGGAATATTTCTGGATTTGCATAAGTTGTGCAATACTCCACAACATACAATCAGTCTGTAATAATCCATTAAAATATTATTATCTACACAAGATTACTACATGTATATGAATTTGTTGTTTCTTATGCAAGAGTCATTGTTAAAATATACATTTTTATTTTATCAAAGTATTATTATTATAACTACTTTTGTCGCTTTTGAACTAATATTGTCTAACAAACATGTACTTATTATTGATATATTGAATTTTTAAAAAAAGAAGTTAACATGTTTATTAACATGACTGTAGTAAGGGCAGGTTTATAAGAAGTTAAAGTACTTACTTGCATACTTTCTCTGGATTCATTTTAATCTCGGAATGTAAGACACCCCAGCGCCCTTTCAGTTGGCCAATGCCTCTCTCAACTTTAGCTCTTGTTGATTTATGTGCACTGAAACAAATTCAACATAGTAAGAGTAAAATTCTTATGAAAAAATCTAGACATAAAATAATTATAAAAAATGTTTTTGTTGGTTTTTTTGTTGATTTTTTGTTCGATCTAATAATTATTAAAAATAGATTTTTTGTTAAATATATTACTTACTGTTTAATAATTTTACCTGAGACTAGATCTATATATTTATGAATTAAAATATTTTGCATGCTAAATATTTTGTACAAAAATAATATGAGCCACTCCACGACAAAACCAACATAATGGGTTTGCTTACAAACCCTATAGCAAGTAGAGAAACTGATAGCGAACAGCATGGATCCTGATCAGACTGCGCAGATGCGCAGGCTGGTCTGGATCCATGCTGGTCGCAAACGCACTATGTTGGTTTTGTTGTGACGCGGCTCATATTGTTTTAGAAGTACAATGTGATAGAAATAAGTGGTTCTCCTTTTTACAACATTATGTCACTGACTCATAATGAATAAATTTACAAGCATAATAATTATGTACCGGTAATTAAGTACTTGTTATATACATAAAACATAAGTGTCAAGATATATAATTTATCTGGTTCTTCTATATATACTTTATCAAGTCACTGCACCTGTTATACTGAGTTTGAGATCCTTGCTGGGGATTAAGGTAAGGGGTGAGGAGCCATCTTTCACAGGGATAACCACTATCACCTAATAGATAGTGGTCACCAGGTGGTAAATGACCACCTTCCATTAATGCCCACACACCACTCTCCCTCAAAATTCTGCTATCGGGCACAGATCCCGGCCATCTTGCCACTATATCTATTATTCTATCATTGGGATCAAAAACAACCTGAAAATGAGCATTGGAGGTTTCTTATTTTTGTAAACAGCTATGAAGCACTAACAAAGATAGAAAAATTATCAAGATAGAAAAATTATCAAATTACTTGATATCGTCTATTGATTTTTGGTTTGCTTGGTTCATTTGAAAATATTTTAAAATAATATAAAAGATGAGCAAATTAATTACAATGTATTACTATGCCCCCTTTCGAGGAAGAGGGGATATATTGTTTTGCTACTGTCGATAGGTTGGTTGGTCTATCCGTTTGTAGACCACATGGTTTCCGCTGATTATCTTCAAAAATCTTTATCACAAAAACTTCATATTTCACATACTGATTGGTCATAACTAGTGGATGACCCCTATTGATTTTGGGATCACTAGGTCAAGGTCACAGGGGCCTTGAATGTTTGTATGGTTTCCGCTCATTATCTTAGTTACTATTTATCACAATTATCTTAGTTACTATTTATCACAAAGTCTTCATATTTCACATAGTGATTGGTCATAACTAGTAGATGACCCAGATTGATTTTGGGGTCAAAGGTCACAGGGGCCTTGAATGTTAGTAATATTTTCGCTCATTATCTTGAAAGCTATTTATCACAAAGTCTTCATATTTCACATAGTGATTGGTCATAACTAGTAGATGCCCCTATTGATTTTGGGGTCACTAGCTCTAAGGTCAAGGTCACCTGGGTTTTAAATACCAGAATGGTTTTCGCTTATTATCTTGAAAACTATCACAAAGTCTTAAAGTTTCTCATATTGATTGGTTATAACTATTAGATGACCCCTTTTGATTTTGTGGTAACTAGGTTGCAGGTCAAAGTCACAGGTGCCTTAAATGTCGGAATGGTTTGCGCTCATTATCATGATCACTATGTCAAAGGTCAAGGTCACAGGGGCCTTGAATGTTAGAATCGTTCCCGCTCATTATCATGAAAAGAATTTATCACAAAGTCTTCATATTGTACAAATTGAATGGCCAGATATTGATCGGTTATTTTATAGTTAGTGGGCCATTTTTTTATTTTTTTCTGTAACTGAACGCTTTCAAGTACCCATTTATGGCAAGTTTCTATAACAAAATTACAAATAATGTGAGTCAAGGGCTAGAAAGATATCGTTCGACATTTCTTGTTCAATCATTATTGCTCTAAAAAAGCTGACATGAATTATCAAGATTCTAGTCCCTGCATATTTATCTGATAATTGTTATGACCACAGAAGGCATAATTTAAACAATCTTGGTAGAACTAAGTAATTGTACCTGAGTATTGATGCTATGATAGTTCATTCTGTTAACATACACCCCTTTGTTCTGTGTTGGTCCTTGTATCTGCACATGAGTGCCATCTATAACACCAAACACATTGGGGAAGCTGGCTGTGCCATAAAATTGCCTTTCCAAATCTTGTAATTCTTGTTGTGTTTTGGGAAATTTTATGTATGTTTGTACAATATGAGGTCTGCTCAATGCATGTATTACTTGTGAAATAACTCTAGACACAGATGACTGTGATATGCCATGAATATCTGCATCATTTAATTGAATCTCTCCAGATGCAAAGTACCTTAAAGCAATCTTAACTTTCTGTAAAAGTGTGATGGTATTTTTCCTCTCAGTTTTCGGCTGCAGATCTTCTCTTAGCAGTTCAGTTAGAAACAAAATGCCATCCTTGTCTAACCCGTATCTGCTGATCACTTCCTCGTTTGTCAAATCTCCAAAATCAGCCATTTTTCTACAGTTATCAATAAGAAAATAAAAATTATACAAATTCAAATGTGTTTTTTATTCCCAAACTTGTTGTTACCAAGCTTAAACATTACAATAAATAACTGTTATTTTTTAAAGTGAAAATTATAAGCCATAACTGTAATAAAATATAATACTCTTAATGGCATGAAATAACATTTTTTAATATAAATATCAATCATATAACTTGAACATTGGTTGCCACAATCTCTTTGGTGTTAATATAAAATATCCTGTCATTTTCATATATGGTCAAGCATAGTGTGGATTTAACCAGGGTGATCGCAAAACTTTGACAAATGATTTACTCCATACTCAAGACTGCACTAAAACAGACTTTAAACTGGATTTTGCCATTCATGAAATGTGCATAAAACTTTGCAATAGATTGTTCTTGGACTTCAGAAATGAAGCACATTCAACAGGCTGGTGAAAATGCCTGATCTGGCTTAAGACATAAAATACTATATTTTCAGAAAAATAATTAATATGTTTCTTTCTAACTTGTTTTGTTTATTAAGCATTTATATATGATACAAATCAAAATAAAATTTTTTTGGTTATCTTTTATTTTCTTAGAATTATTTCCCTTTTTCTGGAAACTAAATATTTGAAGTTCATAAAAATTATGTTGTTATGTTAAATTCTTATTAGAAATGTGTCAATCAACTTTATTTTGCTCTAGATTATTGCGCCAGTACCTTTAATATTCTATATATTTTGATTAAAAATTCTGTTTCTGGCATTTATAGTTTGACAATTCTTTGACATTATACTTTGAAATTTTCTCTGAAAACTGACTGAAATGTATGCTGACAGGTGTTGGCGCAATGAATTAGAGCATACTGGGCAGGAACCAGTTTCCGGACAGAATTAGAGTTTTTTTAATTGTCTATTTTTTAATAATAAACATGCATTAGAAAAATTAACATACCAAAAACCTGAGCTCTAACTACATCCGATAACACAATTAATACTGCCTGGTGACGTAAGCAATGTACAAACTGAAGGGTTAAATTAGGTCATCAAAAGTGTAAATTGTTCACTCTTGCAGAACCAGTTTCCGGACATATATTAAGCTGCTATTCATATCTGTTTTTAACTGATAATTATTCTAATATAACAAAAAATTTCTTCTCACATATTAGCTTTCTTATATAATTAAGCTGATTTACTGAAAAATGTTTATGATAGGAAAATTAACGATCACGTGATGGGTCTCGGATTGACTGAAAAGTGAAATGGATATTTTTGTGTGTACGGCAGCAACGAAGTGGGAAAGTGGAGGAAACCTAGCTAAACACCGTTTTCCGATACGTCTGGGAAATCACACCCAATGAACTTCAAATGAAGTACATTGTGCATTTATTGCTACCCCGAATTATATCCTGAAATAAACAAAATATTGCGCATGCGCAGAACAAATTACATGCCCCAAAGGGATGTAAGGCTGTTTTTAAAACACAGGTAAGATAATAGATATCCTCACGAAATTTTAATGATGTATCAACTTGAAAGGAAGTTTATTTTCTCAAACAATCAAACCAAGCATCTTCATGACATATAATACCGATCGTCATCGATAAAGTTAAAATCAAGCCGTTATAATACTTGTCCGGAAACTGGTATTGTCCGGAAACTGGTTCCTGCCCAGTACAGAAGTTATTTAACCTATTTTGTTTTACACTTTGCAAATGTAACATATTTTTTAAGAACTTCAAAAATTATGTGTTATAAAAAACAGGGATTTTTTTCAGGATTTTGAGAACATGACCCATACCCATGGAATTGGGAATTTCAGTGGTGTTTTGTTAAAAAATGGGAATAATGCATGACCCATACCCATGGAATTGGGAATTTCAGTGGTGTTTTGTTAAAAATTGGGAATATATTATTATGCATGACTGAAATTTTACTTTGATTAAATGGATGCAAACAATAACTGTTAAGGATGGCATCTTCAAGCATTTAAGCACTAGTCTATTACAGTGAAGGAGCCCTTATTTTCAAAGATTTTAGAATTTTTATTCAATATTTTTATTTTGTAACTTTCAATTGGGAATTTTTTCCTGTGAATTTGGAAAATATTATACTATTTTCAATTGGGAATATGACCCAATAACAGCTATAAAATAAGCCAAAAAAAAAATCCCTGTAAAATCATGAAAAAGGGGAAATGACAGTTGCCCAACTTTTTTCTTTCTGTTTTATGTCAAATCTTATTCTCAATAAACAAACAAAGTTTTAAAGAAATACCGGGCAGGGCTCATCCTGGGGGGAAATTTTAGGGAGAAGTGACTTCCTCGCGAAAAATAGGGAGAAGGGAAACAGCCCAATATGTATGCATTTACATGCATGGCTATACATCCTTAACTATAATATAAACACACAATTAAACTATTTATCAGCTATTTACAAGCTTTCTCTACATATTTGTTTATATATTTTCAGGTAGATTTATTGATAATAATGTGTAAAAAAAAATTTGATGAATAAATTAATTTCATACTTTTACTTTCCTCACTTTTAATAGAAGATAAAGTTTCAAAGAAAAACTGCTTACAGAAATTTCTTATATAATCTTGCATGTTGTAATGTCATATTTATGTGCATATAGTTATGCTTATAAAACAATTTTCAAACATTGAAGAATATGTAAAATATGTACTGCAAACATTTGTGCACATTATATTTGATCACTAAAATTATATACATTCATTTCTTATTGAAAATTTTGACTGAGAAATTATAGAAAATAAATTTCTAATTACCTCCCTTTATTTTCATGAAATGCTAAACTCGTAATATCTTTATAAATAATGTTTTTTTGAAATTTACAATATTGATAAATCTTAATCTGAGCGTCATATTTATGACATTAAAACAAATATATATATTGAAACAATAAGAACACTTCTTTCCTGACAAATTGTGTTGTTATATACATGTACACATGATTTACGACCGATATGTAGCATGCCGATCATGATTCGTAGTTTTTCCGGGATGTCGTGCCCACGTGCGTAAGCTGTGTCAAATTTGGCATTTCTACAAAGATAACAATGCCAAACACTCTCACTGTCTGCAACATACCAATCGTAAGATTTTTGCGAATTGGCTTTCTTAAATTTTTGCGTAGAATTTTTGCGTAAGAATCAGTAACTTTCTTTTACTTCTAGGTTTGGGCATTTCGCCCTGTAGCCATAACGTGAGCGACATAACATTTTTTTAATTGATGTTAACGGACTGAAATCATTCAAAACTATGATTAAGTTTTTAATCCGGTCGCTGACCATTAATGAAATTGATTATTTTTAATTGACTAACAGTTTTGTGATAGCCGTGAAAAACCCATTGCAGATCGCCTTTACTCGGGTTAAACACCGCGTGTATATCAACTAGGGAAGATTTGCACGTGTTTAGATGATTGGGGAAAAAACAATCTATAATTATCGCCAAATCCCGTATTAAACTCGCAAAACTGTCGTTTCGGGCCGATGCTCTCGTTATTTACTGTTTAGAGTAGGCGGTCTATCGCTTTGCATACAGGTAGAAGGGTAGTATAAAGCGACGCTCTGATTGGATAATGATAATTAGCAGTTGTCATATGGGCGTATACAATCTCTGCTCTTTACATCGCCAAGTAATTACTCTTTGGGAATTAAGATTTTATCGGCGATTTTGACTTCTCTTTGATCAATTGTGAGAGCGAAATGGAAATATACACGGCGAAGTTTTCGCCTGAATCGCCCTTCCGGATGAGCCCTGCCGGGATATTTATTAATACTTTTCTAGAAATATGATTTTTATGTGGGCATTTTCACCAGCCACTTCAAGGTTCAATATTCTTATTGTTGTCATTTTTATTTTTGTTTATAATAATCCTTTAAACATAGAACTGGAATTGTACTTTCAAATGGTTCATCATTTTACAATGTGAGCTTTGTTGTAATATGAATTTTGGCCTACTTTCACTTTGGAAACAAACAAGGCTGACAAAGCGTAATCACCTTAATAATTGCATTGCATGCTGTTTTATGTCTACTGTAAAGGATAAATTAGAAACATTTAAAAATATTTGATAAAATAATTAATAATTGAATGTAACACATTTGTAATATAGTAATTTTTAACGAATCTGCAAGAATATTGTAAACATTACAAATATCCTACATATCCTACTGTAGCCCACCGGAAGTTCGTGACCATAAGCGCATGAGAAATAAATAAATAAATTACAGATATATAATCAAACTTATGCACTAACCTGTTAAAATTATGTATCTTCTTCCATCAAGTCCAATTTTTAACAAGCAGCATTTTTCAAAACATATTCAATTTCATTTTAAAGTAGGTCATCATCCGCCATATTGAATTCAAATTTTCCCCCAACTTCGTGACATGAAGAGTAGTCTCCCTTGATAGGTCACAGTACACTAATTCACAGACGCTTGGGCCCCAACGTGATACGCCCCTGTAAACACTCTACCAAAACTATTTTAATATTTAAACACGAATGGGACATCTATTACAACGATAAAAATGGTTTTCAAACAATTTTTACATATGTGAAAAAATACCGTATACCATCAAGTCTCAGACAAAACTTAAGATAAAAACAGTTGTAAATTCCACTTAAGTAAATTGCGGATCCTTATCTTAAATCTAAGAAAATTTCTCAAAATTTAAGCAAAATCTTATATTCAATTAAGTAAAAAAATTAACTTAAAATCAGTTGTGAATACGGCCCCATGTTCTTTAAATGACATTAAAATTTCCAAAGCCTACAGCTGAAGCCCAAAGTCACATCTAGTATACCAACTTTCCTTTAACAGCAGTATAAGGAGCTTAATTGGCTCTGGCACAGGAAGCACAATCGCAAAATAATTGCATATGTCATAGGCGATTTTCTTGCCAGTACTAGTACCTAAACTATACGTTTTTTTTTGTTGTTGTTCAAAAACACCATACTTGGGAGCCCTCAGTCACCGAACTATTTGTCCGATTTCATTTCGGATTGACTTTGGATGCTCTACGGTATGGCACAATAGGGGCACAGGGCACTGGTCCAACTATGGCCCAAATTTGCCCGCATCACACAGGTTTTAGTCTTTGTGACTTTTTTCTCCAGCTAGTACTTAAGCATTAATAAACTGTACGTATTTTGTAAACATACACCATTTTCCAAAGCGCAGCGTTACATATATCGTTGCGAATTGTCACACGCGATACATTGGGGCTTTCATATGGCGGTAGTCGCAAAGTAACAGCATGAAAAATAGACACTAGGCTGTCCGGCGATTTCCTCCGGTAGTACTAGTATACAAGTATAAAGTCTTGTAATGAAATCGGTGAACCAAGTTGCTGGCAGGGATTTGCAGTTTTAAATAACCCGGAACGTTTAGCGACACGTACTTTCTCCATTCACATTGTATATTTTGAGCATGAAGAAAATGTCACTAAACGGGTTCAAAAAACAGAGCTTTTACAAAATCTCACTACAGATCGATGCTTGACATTCAGACAAATCCTGACCGATTTAAAAACATTTATTGAGATTTGGCTACAAACGAAGGAATTGCTGCTCAAAATTGCATTTGAGCTCCATATGCGCTGAACAGATCCATAAGTGATATAGAAAACCATCTCACTTCCATATATGTAGCGGATAGTACCCATATGATTAACAATTCACTAATAAAGGATATGTAACTTGGACAATGAACTTTGTAAAGCTATCGTGTCATATAATATGTTTCTATAATAATGTTTACATTCATAAAAATATATATCACTTTAATATTCCACAAGTTATAGTTATAGCGACAGACTGTTATGTGGAAATATCATGGCCTGGTGCGACATCGAAGGTTTTTCTTTACAGAATATGGGCCGAGAACATTGTCTGTAAGGAAAACCCGAGATGCCGCCCCAGGTCATGATATTTCTACATAATAGTCGAGTTCGATATATTATAACTGTTTTATCGCATGATAAACAGAAATGAGAATTTTAATAAACATAAAATTTCAATTTATAATTGGCTTCTCTTCATAAATTTAATTCCCCACTCGGAACCTCGGTTACTTTTTATGTAACGTGTCAATGACCGATATTGTAAACCCCACACCATATGAGCCAATCAGAAGTATGTTGGGTGTTCCTGATTGGTTGGATGACCAAAGACACAGAAAAAGATTACTGTAAATAATTGGGACGCGCCAGTATTACGCTAACCGCCGTTTCATCAGCATTTTTTATGGCATGCCAAAAAAATGATTTTTAACTTTATATCAGCTACAGAGCAGGCATAAAATAAGTCAAATAGGCATTGAACCATAATTGCGAATATGGGCAAGTAGTGAATATGTAAATATTATGCAAGGACGTTCCTTGTTGTGGAAAATTAATATGCAAAGTTTCTTTGATCTTTTACAAAAACTTTATCACTAACTTTCTTACAGCGTCATAACAAATTCAAACGCGATTTACATTACTCCCCTATTAAGCAGACAGTGCAGTCGAGTGAATAATTAGTTAATTAATTAATACATGAATGCATATAAAGGGAATGATTGTCAATAAATCAAAATGAGCAAGGCCTTCCCACCATATCTACGTATTTTCAAAACCTTTCGTATGCAGAATGTCTTTTATCTCTTTCTATATGGATACTATGTTACATGTATTCAAGCTCGTCTCGTGTAAATGTGTCTATTTCGGATAATAATATTTTATTACAGAATGATACACAATAGAATAAATTATAGATTGCTTTATAAAAGTGATGCGTAATTATGTTGCTATTTTTTTTTATATTATGCACATATGGACCTCTTCAGCACATATGGAGCTCAAATGCAATTTTGAGCAGCGATTCCCTTCGTTTATAGCCAAATCTCAATAAATGTTTATATCAGGATTTGTCTGAATGTTAAGCATCGGTCTGTACATAGTGAGATTTCGTAAAATCTCTGGGGTTTTTAGTCTATTTAGTGACATTTTCTTCATTCACATGGCATGTTTTGGACACACCGGATGAAAACTGCATAGAAATCCAAAACAAATAATGGGTAATATAGAAGAGAGTCAGGAGGGTAGAATCACATTTCGATTTTCTTAAAAAAAGGATTGATTTTATATAAATGTTTATAAAGATGAAAACTTACCCTGCGATTGACCTATTTTTACAGTCACATCTGGTGTTATGCTTCACATCTGGTGCAGCGGAAATTCACATATAATTTTTACCGATGGTTATTTTTGAGATACATATGGGGTTCCACTCCCGTGCGGTGGACTCCGCAGAATTTATGTACTAACAGAACAATCGCAGATCGATCTGTAGGAAGCTGATACCTAGTGACAATGTTTCTTTGACTAGTGCAATGATGTAAAAGAAGGCAAATTTCAACAAAAACCACCACGATAGCCTAAGGGAGGTGGTGTACTGTTCTTATTGTCGTGAGCTCCCAAAAGCCTCAATGCTTTTGCACTGGCGTATTCCATAGGAAATCCAACCAAAGGGTAGATCATTGTAAGCCCCTGAAAATGGTGTGTGTTTTGCACAATTATTCACAGGAAGAATATAAATGGTCGTAATGCCTGAAGCCATGCCATGCGGCATCTGACGTTCAGTAAGTTATATTGCCTTTAAGTGAAGTCTTCAAGCAATTGCACCGACAAATTTGCAATCAAATCGGACCAACTGGCCGGAAGATGATGTATTATTTTACAAAAACACGTAGGATTTATAAACTAAAACGACTAAATATAGCGCGCGCATCTTGCGGCTATGTTTAGTGTACACTCTCCACGCGTTTTCTATTCCCGTAAATGTGATTCTATGATGTACTGCACTGGCTAATTCGCAACGAAATCTGATAAATGGGATGTCACACGAGGCTCTTAAAAATGGTACTTTTTACGATCATTCTTGCATACATATAATTTATATAATACAGCAGAAGAAATCGTCGATCGGGCTAAAACGGGGCTTGCCGTTCGGGCTTGAGTTGATAAATCGAGTTTGATCTTTGGCCCATCGAAGCAGGCCTTATATAACTGTTAAGGGAGCCTACATACTTTTGCATTTGCCAATCCGATGGACTCCGGGAAATTCTGCTTTTTACGACAATTTGTAAAGAGAAGCAATTATTGTCTCACGCCGTTGCTATATATGCGGGCATCTAGCGACTATGTTTGCTAAGGCAGCATCATGTGCTTAATGTTGCCATAAAGTGGAGCCTCCAAGCTATTGTACTGGCTAATCCTCGGGTAAATCGGGCTTTCAATTATATTAACCCTAACCACATTTAATAAATTCGAATCTGGACAGAACCCACTCATCTTTTTTGAGGGAAACTTCAAAATTCGCACCTACTAAATGAATAGACAGTGTAGACCAGACAGCACTGGTCGCATGGGTATATTCATTTGCTGTCAGTAGGCTAAGCCAACAAGACCACTATACCTACAAATGTATATTTGTCTGAGTAATCAAAAATAATCTTTCAATTAGCGTGGAGACCCAATCAAATAACATGTCTGAAAAAATGTTTTATCTTCCTTTAATCAAGTGGCCCCAAGGGCAGCAAATTTTGACCCCAGACGTACGAGTTGCATCAACTTTTCAGACGTTCACAAGGTACATGTAATGTTGCATGCTAAATATCTTGGCTCTTGGCATTGTAGTTTCACAAATAAGACTGAAATTTGTTTTCTCATACAAGACTAGATCAACCAAGTGACACCTAGGGCAAGGTCAGTATTGACCCAAGGTGCATGATTAATACCAGTTAATTTGAGGTTCTCTAAGTGATGTTATATGTCAAATATCTTTGGGCATTGTAGTTTCACACAATTAGTCTCATATATGTTTTAGTCTAAATCAAGTGATTCCTGGGGCGGGGCAAATGTTGAACCAAGGAGCACGATTCATTTCAGTTTTGCAAAGGTCAATAAGGCAATGCGACATGCTAATATATCTAAGCTTTTTACAGTAGTCATTGTAGTTTCATTTAATGAAACGTGTAGGCCTTTTTCATACAAGTCTATATAAATCAAGAAATTCCTGGTTTTGGTCTCAGGACGCCCAAACCTTTGTTACGCACATCGCCCCATTATATGTAATATTTCTGCCAATAGGTTTCAATTTTTCCCATCAGTTCAAACGATACAGAGTAGAAATGATACAAGGTGACTAAGTGTGACCTTGACCTAAGGAAGGTCAAATCTGCGCTCTGCATATCTTCTCATTCTTGTTAACATTTCTACCAAGTAATTACAATTTCCTTACAAAAGTTCAAATGATACAGACCAGACACGAAAACTGTTAAAAGACAGACAGATGCACCACCAGTTGCAAAACATTATAGCCAAATTTTTTTTAGGCATATTAGAGACAAGCAACTCTCGAATTTTGTTGAGAATTTGTTGTTTATTTTTATTGGACACAGCATTTACATAGGCTTACTATAAGCTTGAAACACATACGGTTCATAGAAAATAGAGTACATATAGGAAACATAGTGAAATATACAACAGTAATAGTTAACAGTGTATATATATATATATTATTCATGGGTGTTCTTTTATGCGATTTCTGAAATAGCTTTTAACTGCGTGCTTGTTGAAGGTAAATGTAAACACTAATATTTTAATGTTCAAACTTTTGAATACAAATTTTGAATACAAGATACTAGTAATTGGAAAGCAGTCTAAGAGAATGCACATCTCTGATTGGCCATTTTCAAATTTGAGCTCCAATATGAACCAATCAGATGTTTGGAATTTAAATATGGCCGTTAGTCGCAATTTTTTTTCCATAATTTCTATCATTTCATTTTTTTGTGGGTAAAATGATAAATAATTTGTGTAATGAAAAGAAAGGGATAACTTATCAGCTCTAAAAATAATATAATAAATAAATAAACCCATAAGACTGTGTATTCCTGTATATGCGTTTACATTAACTATTTATAATAATGGTTACAGAATGTCCAATTTTTAAACATATTAAAAAAAGAAGAAAAATAATGTTTCAACTAATGCATGATTTTACTTGTGAAAAAAAATGAACATATATGTTTTACATTTACATTACATATTACATCTATACATACAAGATATATATAAACATATATATTATTCAAGCGGTTATCAAGTATAAAATGACTACTTTGAGACTCATAGATTTGCACTTTATAGACAAGGGATGTCATATGCACTTTTAAGTACATGTACACATATATAAGATAACATAAGTAAAATAAATACACAAGTATAATATTTCTTACGCTTTGAATGTAACTTCGGGACGTTAATTACTATGGCTTTAAAAATTGTATTTATATTTAATATTTCTTATATACACTGTATATGTTTATTTCAATATTTCAACTCCTTATATAGTCCTATAGATCTGAGTAAATAAATGTAGATCTAAATATAACGATATAAACTACACCATGTTAAGATAGATATTTAGGTCCGGATAAAAACCAAACTAAGAGTTACACCTTCGGATCACAAATCCAACAGTGTAAATCAATTTCAGCATTTTTTAAAAACAAGTGTAACTTATTTCAAAGATATTTTGACTGACATATATTTGCTGTAGGGAAGATTCTTTTTACTATATACTATGGCACTAATTGAAACTATCATCTATATACTGTTTGAAGACTGGTATTTAACAAAAAAATATAACTAATGAAACACAAAAATGACAAGTTCTAGAGTGCAAGAATTCCCTGTAACAAATAAAACAAATAATGACTTAGATGATTTTATCTTAAAAATCACAGCCTCATGTCCCTCGTATTTTTTTTTCCATTTCCCTCTTTTTTTTTTTTAACAATTCTTAATTTACTTTTCTCAACTCAAAAAGAATGCCCTTTAACATATATCTTACTGCAGTTAGGTCTTGTGTTTACACATATTCAAAAAATTGACCAATGCCTTCAACATATTTTTCATTTTAATTCAGATATGTGAAAATTTGTAATAAAAAAACTCCATTGTAATAATTCACAACAACTTCAAAACATGGAAAGAAATGTTAACATAAAATGACTTGTGCAATGAATCTAAACATTTAAACAACTTCACATTATAATGCACATGCCCTCTTAGTTTTATTACACACCATGTATGATCTAGTGAAAAAAGTGTTCATGTACTCAGATTTCAAAAAAAAAAAAATGTTTTATTTACATAGGCACTATCTCAAGCACTATCAGGTTAAGGTAGTGGGACACCTTTCAATAAAATTTCCCATAGAAAAAAAATCAATCTTCCTTTCATTTGACCTTATTTTTTTTTTCATAACCAGCATATAGAGTGCCAGTACCTTAACTTTTCTGTTATACACAATTTTCTAACAATAGGTATGCACTACCTTAACCTGTAAGAAAATAGCTTCTTCTACATAAAAAACTTTGGAATAAAGTAACCCCTAGCAAAACACCAGAGAAAAAATGCAACGCTCATATAACAATAATGCTTCAACAACAGTTATTTGTAAAAACAGAAAAAAAGGATAAAAATAAAAAAATGTTAAGACACTATAAAATTACAATATCTACATTTTATCATATTTATAATCTTGACTTTATATGGAGCTAACCATTTCACATAATTTTAAAGAGTAAAAGCAAAAAACAAGCATCTGATTCTGTATATAAATGTATATAGAACAGTTTTGCTGTCTCTCATCAGGATATAAAATTGCAAACACTTATTCCTATATTCAGACAGCCCCATATTTCACAGCCGCACCTCGTGAAAAGCAGAGAACACTTACATATCAATATCCCACTCATAATTCCAGGCGTATGAATACTTACACAAGACTTTGTTTCCAGAAAACATACAATTTGATAAATTTCAAGTAGTGAATGGTCGTGTCATACTGAATTTGAAAATGAATTTGTGTCTGCATTAAAATCACTGTTACATAAAATATACATATAACTACCAAGGGAAGTAATCCTTGTAAATGTACCACCTCTATATTCAATATGTCATAGAAGACATAAAAATGCATAAAAGATGCCAGTCACTTCAATGAAATGAAACTCATTTACTATAATAGAAAAGCGAAAAATAAAATCATAGAAATGAGGCTTGATATTTGAATGAACTTAATTAAACTAATGTGATTACAACATCACCAAGGCCTTTAAATCTTCTGTATAATTATTACTTGACCTTAGTATGTGTAACACGTAAAAAATTGAATCAACCCTTCAACAAATCAAAGTAAACCTTACGTGACCTCATATTGACTTGGGAAGTATCTTTGCCTCCTCCATTGAGAAGAGTAGACATGTTTCCCAGAATGCACTGCGGCTAACAATGACTAATTATAGTCCTTACACGCCTTTTATAGAAGAGTTAAAACTTTCTTTTTTTTCTTTATTTGATGAAGTGACATTTAATATGATTTTTAACAATAGAATAATGCTTTCCTCTTCTTGAATATTTAATCACATCAAAAGCTTGAAACATTGAAAACTAATACACCATTTTCTCTTTTGCATACATCCGAATAAATGCAATACACTTTCTTATTTCTTTTCCGTTTTAATAATTATCCCTATAACAATGAAGGAACAAATGTATTTCTGTTATATGAATATGCTTTAAAAGTTGTGACTACAATATGAAAGAAGTGCAAAACTACTGTATCTGATTCAATATGACACCAGATATAATAGTATACTGCACTAAAACCCTTACAAATTTCTACATTTATTGGGGGAAAAGCCGACAAGCAGTCTGGAAGATCAATTATGCAAATCAAAATGAACTGAAAACAAATTTCCACCATTATCATGATAATACATGAATTTACATCAATGAAGTAAAATAAAAATTAATGATAATTAACATAACAGTGAAAAATAAAACAATTTGAACAAGTGGGCAAGCAAAAATAAAGTAAAGGAATTAACCTACATCTGGGCATCTACTGCATGCTATAGTCCAAAATCCCCAAAAAATTACAAAAAAAATAAGAAAAAATTGGACGAGTCACAATCATGTACCTAATCAAACAGTCAGCTAAATAATGGGCGATCAGTTGTTATCATTACACAATCAGCTAAATAATGATCAATCTGTCATTATCATTACAAAACAGGTTGTACAAAATGTACAATAATTATTTTACACATAACCTTATTGTGTCAATTAATTAGAAAAAATTAACGTTTTTCCTATCTAGAAATTTCTGTCAGTTTCAGTGATGTCAGCCATGTAATTCGATTCCCCATCCCCATGACATCACTTCCTGTGATTTGATCTTTTCAATGTAATGACCTCTTGGCCCGGAACAGCTGACCAATCATCTTGGTGAATCCTGACCTTCGACCCTGTGACTGTCCAATCGTTTATGAGATATACAATATAAATGTTTTCACTATCACGACCGTGCGTTTATGTTGTCTGCATTATGCATTTAGTTATTAAAAGTTTATTGTCTAAACACTCAAATTGAGCTCTCCTTGCTCTCCTTGCTTTTCTTAGTTTTTGAAAATGATGGCATTCTAAATTTCTTCTTCTTTTTCTTTTCTTTAGTTGGTGATGGGTGCTCTTTGGTTGGTGAGCCCTGAAGATAAATTCAGATACACTGTACAATATATACTGTAAATTAAATTAAAGGCACATCATGCCTCAGAAACGAATAAATGTTTCCTTCTTTAGAAAGGGCAAACATAGGTTTTAAAACGTTATAATAATGGTTTTAGAGGATTTCAGATGCACCTAAAGATAGTAGCATTGAATGTGAAATTATTGGTCATAAAAGTAGCAAAATATAAACAAAGCAGTATTTTGATTTCCATACAAAAATAGTAAATCATAGTTAATCTATGATTTTAATTGCCAGAGAGCAATAGAAGCAGAAGATTATTCAGATAACTGGCCAATGAGTAGCTTTTTTTTGAAAATATAAAATGATAAAAAAAAAAAATAAAAAAAAAATTGAGGAATAATGGGCCTTTGATATATTTTTTTTTTAATTAAAACTTCAAATACTTTAAAGAACATTTCTTATTTCTTCTGAATCCATTTAGAACATTTATTTAAACATATAAAACTGATTTAATTTTACTAAATATTTGTTATCTTGATAAAACCATATAACTCTGCAAGTCTCTAAGATACTTGAAATATTTGCAAAATATTGTTTCTGTAGATTTCAATTATATTGAACACTGATTTAAATCTTATTATCTGGAAATCAATTCCCTTGTGGCCCATCTATTTAATGTATATCTTCCATCATCTGATCATGAAAGTCAGATTTGATGGATCTTCGTAATTTGTAGTAAAGCAAGAAACCAGAAATACAACATGTACTTAATATTGAGTTCCAATACTTGAACCAAGACTTAGCACTTAATTAATCTGCTGCAAACAAAAATGATTAATTTAGCATTTGTCACCAGTATAGAGCCAGGCCAACCTGCACATCCATAAATCTATGCAGTCTGACCAGGCTCTATGCTGTTGATATATCCATTTTTTGTACTTTGATACTGAAATCCATGGACTCTTCAAAATTATTAAAGACAGGGCAAAAGCAATACATGAATTCTAGAGGTTAAGAGACCATGACACTGACTGTAGTGCCACCACAGATGCCCAATTATTCATTGAATGGTAGAGCTCTATAAATCTTAACAATTGCTTAAGGCTTTCCAACAGTCATATTAGTTTGAAGTAGAAAACATCAAAGTTGCTGAATTCATGTATCATCAAAGCTTTTATCAACTTATATTTAAACTGTTGAGGTGTGAGAAGGAACTACATTTAAATTCAAGTTTCATTCAAGAGTGAAGTTAATTACACAACAAAAATTTTGGTATGATTCTAATTAAAATATAACTTAATTAATTTTTTTTATCAAACATGTATCAATGTACATGCTAGGTGGAGTACCATCCAAACTGAATTTACTAACAGCATGCAAAACTTTCACAAACTTAATGTTTACAGAGCAACTGGTTTGAAAACAATTATGAAACAAAATATTAGGCAGTCTTTCTTCATCTTTATTTTGTTAAAAGTGCAGCATCTTACAGTCTAATATGAGTGCAATCTTTCTCTTTTTTTTTCTATCAGGCAATCCGCATGCAGTGAACTATGGAAGACCACTGCTGCAATATTTAGCACAGAAACAAAAACATCTGGCAATCATCCAAGAAAGCGGAACAGAACAGGACAAATCAACATAGCAGTACTTTTAAAGCAAAGATTTCCAATTAAAGAAAATATTCACTAAAATATTCTTCTGGTTTGCTGTAAAAGGACAAAAAAATAGATTCTTGTATTTGGATGGAAATGTTTTTCGATGTTGTGTTTTATTTCTTATGAATTCCAGATGACAAGTTATCAGATGAGTTTTGCAGATGACAAATTATCAGATGACTATAACACTAAGGATAAAAGCAAGACCAATTTAAAAAAAAAATCTACCTAGGCCCTTTATTACTAATTGAATAGACTAGGGTCATGAACCTACAGACTGATCTATTTCCTTAGCAACAAGTCTATAATAGTCAATATTGTAACCATGGCTTACTGGGCATTACAACCAAAGCACAGGTCTTTATGTAATAATAATTTGTGAAGAAAATTTTTAATGCTTAAGACTTTAAAAGTTTCAATAAAATCCACTTAATTAAACATAGTATTCCAAAAAACTTAAATACTGTTTTTATAATTTACACATGGTACTTGAACACCTTGTTAACAGTCTATCAAAGTATGTCAAAGTTACAGACTGGTTTCATTTAAAGATTTCATAACCTTTGACTTTCTTATGACTATGACACAATATGAGGCGATGAATAGTTGAAATATAGTTAATATTTAACAGAAACCAACATTTTCTGTCATGTTAAACTTTTGCACAAGTAAAAAAAAAAATATCAATCTGCTTAAAACTTTACAAAAAATATTGTTAGGTGCCATTTTCATTTTTACATTTGAGCTGCGTCATGACAAAACCAACATAATGGGTTTGCGACCAGCATGGATCCAGACCAGCCTGCGCATCCGCGCAGTCTGATCAGGATCCATGCTGTTCGCTTACAAACCTTATAACAAGTAGAGAAACTGATAGCGAATAGCATGGATCCTGATCAGACTGCGCTGATGCGCAGGCTGGTCTGGATCCATGCTGGTCGCAAATCAACAAAGTTGGTTTTGTCGTGACACGGCTCATTTATATATCAAGGTACAGAGACATTTTTCCTTTTACTTTTGTAACAGATGAATCGCACAATGTTATTTTCTTTTTACTAAGTATTTCTACTACTAATACTAGCAAGGCATGAAATAAGTTGCACACTTTTAAAATGGATAACAAATAAATCTAATGAGACACAAAAACTGCGTACCTCTTTACTGCTACGCTCCTCTAGGGTTTCTCCACCACTAGCGCTATCTGTTGACCGAAGTGTGTCCGACTTGGCCGGTGACCTCATTTGATCATCATCGCCATTCATCGCTTTCTCTGAAAGATAGAAAATTCAACAGTACAGAGCTTGTGCATAGAAAATAAAACATTGTTCAAGGTTATATCTCATTTATCAATATTTGGAATCATCACAAAAGAGGTCAGTAATAATGCAATGTTTTAAAACTAAAATATATGTCTGTAAAATAAATTTTTGAAGAAAAAAGGTTTCTTAGCAGTGCATTTTACTGTGACATGAAGGCCAAAACATGACAATTAATTATAATGTAAGGGAGACAACCCATGATAAATGAAAATAGTTAAATTCCTGTAAAACTGATTTTATACATATCATCTAATGATACAAACTACATAAATTTTATTACAATTCAAAAGCTAGTAAATTTTGTAACAGCTTTCTTTATCTCCAAAGGTATTAAGTCTGTCAAATAATAAGTATATGCACTTCTGAGTCAATTCAATAAGGAGAATATTTTGCTATTCATTTCTTTCTGTAGGACAAAATAACTATTTCTCTCCTTTTTTCACAGAAAGCTAGAAAAAAGGTCCATTAACTAAATATGAGCTGGTATAAGGGGAACTAAATACCAAAATTTCTAATGACATAACAGGAAATTCCATTTCCTCCACCATTAATATTATTCTGTCACAAAATATTGTCTAAGTACGCTTAAGGCAAGAGGTTCTAAATGTGGTAATTTACATGAAATTTATGAAAATGTCTGTGAGTGAAATTGTATCTGTCTGCAAAGACAAAACAGCACCATCTAAATCAATACTTCCTCAAAATCTGATATAATAACGGTTCAAGTCTATCATATTTTCTATATTGAAGTTTTAACATTAAACAAAGAGCAAGCGATTTGAATACTAGTGCTAAGTTTACCCTAATAAGACTTAACCTGCTGAATTTCTTAAATGGACTTGTCCAGTTTCCATTAAAGGAACTGCCTATTTTAAAATTTTGGGGATATCAGGTTGTTGAAAAATTTTAAGCTAAAGTCAGCCACCAGTATAGAGCCTGGTCAGACTGCACGGATGTGCAGGCTGGCCTGGCTCTATACTGGTGGCAAAGACTTTTGATTTGAGCCGGTTAAGGTCTATTATATGCTTAACAACTGTGAAATCTAGAGACAGGATCATGTACATAAAGGTATAATATAATGTTAAAATATATAATTTGTGCTTAACAACATGCATAGTTACAGTCTGTTAAATTTTAAATGGTAAATAAGTATATTTTGAAAATGAAAACATTCTTCCTCCTGGGAATGCTGAAAAACGACTACAAAAGTTAATGCTAATGAATAATTAATAATGACAACCAATGAAAAGACAAGAACAGATTGCGTCCCCATAACCATGAAGTAATAAAGAATTTTATGTTTGTTAAATAATTCAAAGCACTAAAATTTAGACGAAGAATTTTATGTTTATAAACTAAAAGCACTAAATGACAAAATGTTTATGTAAGTCAAATTACTTTACTTAAAAGCATTAAATGATAAAGAAGTTTGTGTTTATAAACTATAAGCACTCAACAATAAAGAATTTTTTATGTTAGTCAAATCACTTTACTTAAAAGCATTAAATGATAAGGAATTTTGTTTGTTTACAAATTAACCAAGAAACCATTAAGAGATAAAGTATTTAATGAAAATAATAGGATCACAGAATAAGAAATCTTATGTTTGTGAATGAACTTATTCCAAACTTGATAAAATATTCAAATATAAATCAGGCATAGTATTCATCTACTGCAAATGTTTCAAACTTTTTGTGCCTACAAACTGAGAACAATTTCATATTTTATTCCATCAATAAACAACAAAGATTATTTATACTTCATTAATCATCGTATCTTGTTGATATAAAAAAAATAACACTAGATAGGGTATATGATAGTTATGATTGTATGAACTAGCTACCTACACCAGTGATGATGACCAGAACAAGTGAGCACCCAATGTTATATCCCTTTCTGATTAATTTATTTCATTTATCTCACCTTTTTTATTTTTAACTTTTCGTTCTGACTTTGACCTGTCAAAGTTCTTCGCTTTCAACTCGTCTATAACTGATAAAATGATAATAAAAGAAAAACAAAATACATACAACATGCAAAATGCATACAACATAGATCAATTTAGCATTACAACACAAAATGCAACAACAGGCACAAGGTTCAAAAGTAAAAAACAATGACTAAAAATTTATTGCACATTATTTTAAACTCTACCATATTGACTTGCTTACTGGACAAAACTTTTTCTATTAGTTGAATTAAAAATCTCATCAACACTCAATTTGTCACGCTCAACTGGTGGAGGGTGGCACCTTGCGTATTTTCTGACATCAAATGGCAGAACCACCAACATATAAGGGACAGGGTAATCTTCTACACATGAAGGAATTTGTATTTCCTAGCGGCATTCAAACCTTCAGGCTGTGAGGGGCAAGTTGTTCAGCAACTATAAACACTCTGCCATGGAATATCCTTTAGACTTGATGGGTTTAACTATAATTTTGTTTGTTTAGTTTGAATTTACCGCGCACCAACACAATTAAAGCCTTATGGCGCAGAAACAGGAAAGATGACTTTGGGTTACACCAGGTGTTACAAACTTAAAGCAACAACAGGGGTCAAAACCACCTCATCTGCTGGAGCTAAGAGATGCATAGACTCCAGTATTTCAAACCCATTTAGTTGCCTCTTACAATCATGCAGGGATAAATACTGGTTGTAAATCTGATGCCTCAACCCTTTAAGGCAACTTCTCAGCCACAAGGGGGTTATACTTAATAATCTTTCAACAAAATCACAAGTCTACAGAAAAACAATATATTTAGAGTGCAAAAAAACTAATAATGAATTGTGTAAAATTTAGACCCTGTCCTATAAGAAATAAGTCCTATAAGTGAGTTAATATGGTCTTGTGTTAAGAAATTTGTAGAAATTAAGCTCATATGTATAAATAAAAGGACTTTTCTTATCCATTAGTGAACCAGAATTATTTCATTCTCAAACCACTACACTAATGCCCTACTAGCAATCTACACATTAAAATGTAAGTAAACTTGTTTAAATCACAGTTGGTTTTTTTTTAATAACAAACTTACGTTCTGGACTTTTGGGAGGATACCTAGCTGACTCGGATCTCTGGAAGTTGGACTGAGCGGCAGCTGGGCTTGATGCCTCTGTTAGAACCATGCAACACAACAAACATGCAAAATTATACACTCCACAATAGTAGTACTGGGTAACACAGTTAAACATTTTGGGTATCTTGATATAGGTAATTGTATGTCCATAAAGCAGTAAAAATTCTGAACAATCTTTTTTCAACGTGTTTCTATTGAGTCAGCTCATACAATTTAATGCTACATAATCATGGAAAACCTCACCTGCTAAGCGTTATTTTGCTACAAGATTACAGCATGGCCAGCCTGGCCTGACATACTAGTAATTGAGCAGGCTGGCCTGGCTATATACTAGTGGCAAAAAAGACTTTGCAGTTGAGGTTTTACATATGTAAGTATATACTGAAGGCTGTTCAATTACCAAATTTTCATTAAGATATCCATAAAATTGATAATGAACTTTTTTTTTCAATCACAAATTTGGTCAGCTCATTAAAACGATTATCAGGTAATGCTGTTACAAAATAATAATGAAGCTTGCAGTTTTATGTGTTAAAAGTAAGGTTCTGAATAATGTTGAATCACCCTTAGGATATGTTGCCTGCTTTTTAAATTTGTCTTTTGACGTGTTATCTGTGATACGCAGGCTTCATAACCTCTGATCCCCTTTCAAAATTCCATTTTATTTAGTTCCGCCCATTGTTTTCTCGTTTAGGGCACACGCTTTTTATTACTTGGGGACCATACGCCGCTTTTCATGGAATGGCACGGAAGTGTCACATTGAAGGTTCCATGATAACCGCAGTATGAACACATCTGCGGATGTTTCTAAATTCAAAATTTTACTAAGTCATGTTTAAATGTTGAATTCTGCTTAAGCCGGTGCTAGGGGGCGTGGACGGTAACTTGCACTTTCCAGTACCGTCCATGAACAGGCTCAATCAAACCGAGCCTGCAACATTTTCAATTTTGCCGTGTTGGGCTTTCTTTAGGGATTCTGTATTTATCTATTCTATAAAGGCTTTCAAAACTTGGTGTTTATTTTCTAAGACAACTAATGTCATCATCCTCAGATCAAGAGACAAAAAGCCTTTAGTTCCACAAACTAAACATTACCATAATTTAAAACAATTTCCCCATGACAAAATGCTCAGAATATTTCAGTTTTATAGACATACTGGTACAGGCAAGTATTACTCAAAAATGCACAACATCTATGGTAAAAAGTAAGAATTATTCATTCATAAATGTGAATCATGCGTGAATCACTGCCCGTTAAATCTAAATTATATACATCGTCACTGTCTGACATTAGCTACCTCATGCAATTACGATTATATTCACTTGCAATTTTCTTGTCTGAGACATTAGCTTTATATGACAGATGCAATTTTCCTCTTCGACATTAAACCCAAGCTATATTAAATTATTATTCAGTCACTACATCATGGTAGCTTCTGTTAGATTAAGTTGTCTTCAACACAAAATCATATAAAATAATCAACACATGCATATAAATAATATACCTTAAAATTACTAGCTTTAAGTTTTAAATATACACATAATTATAAGTACATAAGTAAATGAACGATACAAAAATCAATGTTTTATGTATTTATTGCACTGCATATAGCAATCATCAGGTACATATGGGGTTGACTAAGTAAGGGGGAGTAACTTTTACACATGTAATTACATATAAATACTAGCTTGAATACATATTCAAATAGAAAAATATTATTTTTCTCATAGCAAAATAAAAATTAATATATGTAATATCTAAGATGCAGTGTAATAATTCTGTTTGCTTGACTTGTAGTTATAAAATATTGAAACTGAGAACTAGTCCTTAAACTTAGATTCTGATTGGTTAAAAGTGAACACAAGTAAAAACTTGACTAATAGTAAAGCTTATATTTGAGAATGGTTAATTATTTTAGAGTTAGCCTTGTTAACATGTAAATCATATACATATATATAGTTATTTTACTGCAGCAATTTATATATACATTGAAAAGGGCTTTCTAATTCTTATCAGTAAAAGTATTCTCTATAGAAGAGTTGTTGAGACCCTAGAAGAGTTCTTTCAGCTAAAATAATAATATGTTATATGAAATATATGATATATGTTAATAACTACCAGTTAAATTAAACTTGATCTGACACATAGACAGAATGTTCTATCAATCTCAGTAACAGACAGCAGGGCATTTCCGCACTAACACAAGGGGGCAATATAAAGTCCATTCCTAATCCGCAATGGCCTTTTTCCCCACTTTAAAAAAATAATTCTAACAGCAACCCAAACAAGAGCTGTCAGTAGGACAGCAACGCTCGACCATTCTTAGTGCTTGATAGTAAAAAAAGCCTTGATTAAAAGGTAAAATTTTCTAAGCAAAGAAAAAGGCAAAATTTTTCTTTAAATCCATATTACAGTTATAGGCCTTGGATAAAGTCCTATTATGCTCTCAAAGAAGAGTAAAATTTCAACATGTTTCAAAGCCATATGTCAATGGACTTTGAAAATATTTGAGGTATTACAAAAACTTTAACGTAAATTCTAAGTCGAAAAAGGGGCATAATTCTGTCAAAATGCTTGATAGAGTTACCTCCTCCTGTCTAAAGGTTGGGGTCATGATGGTGAACAAGTGTGCAAAGTTTCAAAGCCATATGTCAATGGACTCTGAAAATATTTGAGGTATTACAAAAACTTTAACGTAAATTCTAAGTCGAAAAAGAGGCATAATTCTGTCAAAATGCTTGATAGAGTTACCTCCTCCTGTCTACAGGTTGGGGTCATGATGGTGAACAAGTGTGCAAAGTTTCAAAGCCATATGTCAATGGAATTTGAAAATATTTGAACTATTACAAAAACTTTAACATAGTGGTTACGCCGACGCCAACGCTCGGGTGACTACAATAGCTCTACTTACTCTTATTGAATAGTCGAGCTAAAAATCAAACTGTTTCAATGTCCAAGAAAATTGGAACTGTTTTGTCATTTTTACCTTATTGCCTATATTAAAACACCTCAATTTCATTTCAATCACTATACTGTGTCATTCTAAGAACTATATAGAGCCTGTTTAAGATATTAAAATCCCTACTGTTTACATTCTGTATCATACACAAATGTACTAAGTATATTAATTTATGCAATTAGCTAAACTTGCAACTATTATTTCTATAAATGAAAGAAACAAGAGGAATGTTATGTTAATTTATCTATTTCTGTTTTCCATTTCTGGGTACAAATCCATAAAACATGACATCCCATACCATAATAATATGTAACCAATCAAAAACCACAATGATCTGTTTACCTATAGTGTGTATATAATGTTCCGTGCTGATGATCATTTTATAACACCATAAAAAGCAAACTCTTGTCTTACGTGTCTTTTTTTATAAATGGCAGTGTTATTATAAGCATAATAATAATCGTAAATAGGGTATTATCTAATCAGAGATATACATAATATTTATATTTCATATAAAAATATTTATATTACATATTAAAATATCTATATTACATATTAAAATATTTATATTAATATTATAATATTTATATTACATATTAAAATATTTATATTACATATTTAAAAATATTTATTGCTAAAATAATTATTAGGATAGATCTTTATTAAGTTAAAAATATTGCAGTTTTCAAAATCTGTATAAATACTAGGCCATTTAACAATATAACTGTAGTATTTAAAATTTGGAAATTCAGATAAAAATCTGTGAAATATGCTAAACTAACAATTTACGGTTTAAAAAAAAAAAGTTTGCCAAATTTGGTCATATATTTAAAGGAAATTTGAAATATGGTTCAAGATTTTTAAAAACATAAATTTGAGCATTAATGTTTTTTTTTTTTTTTTTTTTTTAAAACAGATAAATAAATATATACATGTACATAAGGTCTCTAAAATCCTAGCACTTCAATTATCAGTTAATTGACAAGAGTAAATAAATGTGGAAAGTAACACATTTTAAATTACAGACCTAGACACTGTGATCTTTATTTCATTACATTTTCCAATATTTCTTTTAAAATTAATTCTTGCATATAAATTACTTCATATAAAATCTGCATATTTCTCTAAATATCAATTAAAGCATATAATATATTTGTAAAACTGAACAATAAAACTAACTGAATCAAGTCAAAATACAATTTATCTTGATTTTCAACTTTGTAAATGCTGGAGGAAATTATGATTTACCTATGTTTTAAGTTTTGCATTCTAGCACTCTGATTCTACACAGATGATTAAAGGAACTCCACTGAGGTCCAAAGTCATAAAAACATAAAATTTGAAAATCTTACAAATATCAAGTAAAACACTTAAAATGGAAAACTCTGCAAAGGGTAAAAAAGAAATATACTCAGAATTAAATTTTATGCAAATTTTAGCCAGATTTGAGTGAAAAGCATTGCAATGCTTTTTATTTTTGTGCCCTTTTTTCACAATAAAAATTATTATTCTGGAAAAACCTCAGCTGAGTCCCTTTAAATTATTCATATTATTTGGATATTCAAAATTCGATCAGTGTTCAAATTCAATGCAACTAAGTGCATTATAATCTAGAAAATAAATTTTCAAAAATTAACCCGGCAAGATTCACTAAGCTCTATTAATTGACAGATAATTAAACTGTTAGTTAAGGTTGGTGTGATTGAAAAAGTGGAAGTCAGAAAACTAAATGTGTACATTAGAAAGTGTATGTGATCATTATTTTTTTTTAACTTATCTAAATTGTGCCTCAAGTTAATAAAACTCTTTAAAGTGCAGGAGAAATCTGTCTAATTCTTTTCTTTTAATCTTTCTACGAGGATATTACAGAAACAGCACAACACAACGATACTAGCACTCCAAAGGGAAGCAACTCCTACCAACCCGATGAATGCAAGTCATCAATACTATCCACATTTGAAATGCGAGAATACCGATTGTTCGGTAAAATATCGTCAATGTTAGAGTCTCCAGATAAATCATGCTCTGTTATAATATCGTCTATACAAGTTTCTCGGGATTTCCGATGTTCCGCATATTTATCAGAATATGCGAGAATTTCGTCCACATTTGTTTCCCTTGAATGTCTGTTTGGTCGATTTTGCGTTGGTCGTTTTGCTCTGCGTACAACTGGTAGATAAACAACATAACTGGTAGTTACGACTTCCAAATAATCTTACCAATATCATTTATCAGATTACTATGCATTTTTGCGACTATTTTCCTAAGAAAAGCTTTTTTAAAAGCAGCTTTCACAATCAAAAACAGTGACTTCAAGTCTAGTCTAATCTTTAAAAGCTAGAAAAGGAAAAGCTAAGAATAAAGCTGTGTATAGGAAAATGCTTCATGTGCACATGTATATATATAATTATATGTATATATGTATAACTATGTAACTATAAAGTACTGACAGGGAAAGAAAGCTCTTGCAAATAAAAACTTCACCATTCATTTTAAACACAGCAACTCTATCGGCATGCTCTTCTACTTTTAATTTAAGTTGACATATATATAAATGTATATATTTATAACAATAAAAGCTACTTTATAAATGTGCTAGTTTTTGGACAGGATAAAAACAAAGATGGTTATTCAAAGTTTGTGAAATCTCCGATTATATCTGACATACAAACCTTGGGCTGTTGGAGACGTGGGTGATGTTGGGGGCGACGCCGCGGAGGAAGCATCACTGTACGACGCCACCGAGTCGCCACGGGCACTACGCCTGTTGTTCTCTTGAAACACAATCATGCACAATATTTCGTGTAAGTTAAAATAATGATCAACATAATAATACATGCACAACATAACATGTGTAAAGTAAAATTATCTAACATAAACAACATGCAGAATAACATAGTTACTAGGATCTATAAACATGTATTTTTAATTCAATACCCATGTATCATACATAATCCTGATGTAAGAGAAAAGCGTTCCATATAAAAAATTTAAAACTTCACTAAAATTTAAATCGCACAACATTCACTCCCCTTCATATAAACAATAAATTCATAAGGCAGAACTTACGATACACATTTTCAAACATCTCTCATTGTGTTATTTCAATATTTTTCAATCAAAATTAGATCCCCACCCCCCTGTTTTTCACTCATGATTTTTTCTCACATCAGAATTAAGACTCTTTATACCAAGGAATTAATACTATACAAAATACATGTCAATATTAATTGTTAAAATAGTGGCCTATCCTTTACAGGGACAAACATCATTTGCAAAGCATACAGTTTCTTATCTTCAAATTACACAATAAATGGAAGGAAGTTTTTATATGAATGAGTTATGAAGTAGTCAACTGTTAAGCTAATCTACAAGTATGATTAAAACCTTCAAAATTTGCTGTTTGATAATAAACATTAAATCCTTATCAACAGTTAAGGTGATAAATTTGTTAGTTTTGAAGAATATGTCATCTAAAAGATTAAATGATCATTCAAATTATCAAATTTTGAATCTCTTCATTTCTTAAATTTTTTGTAATTTGTTTTTATTTGATCTAAACGACTGCCTATCATGGAGGCAAGGACAGTTATCATAATCATGTTAACATTATGTCGAGAGGAAAAAAAAAGAAAAAAAAATGATTCTGGCTTTGTATAGCATTACACGAGGACGAAAATGTTAGTGGTTAAATCCTTTATCTCGTATGACATGAAAAGTTAGTAACTTTGGATTAAAAAGACTACACAAGGAATGTTAAAACATTTACGTCTATCTAACATGACAATGTGTGGGTGGGGTAAAAATGAAACATGCGCCATATGAATAAATGACAATGACTCACTTGCGTTCACTCTGTATCCCTCGCCACGGCCTGAAATGTTGGGTTCGGCACAAAATATGACAAATACATTAACACACAAGACATAAATACAGTATGTGTAACATTGTCACAAAATTTGAATAAATTGACTGTGAAAAATGGACAAATCAAACTGGGATCTTAGCATTTTAACAAGTAGTACCCATCCAACAATAATACAGGCAAGACAGATGGTAACTCCCCCACTCTTTTATGGAACATTAGGAAATGAAAAAAAAAGTCTATTTTTACTGATCTTGACCTTATTAACCTTTCTGTTTATCCAGCCTCCTTAAACCTCAGGTAGAATTTTGTGCAAATGATAACATAATATGTTGTTGGTTTTTTTTATGGCTCACATTATTTGGCACCGAAACAGAAAAGATGATTTTGGCTATCCTTGGGCGTTTCAAACTTAAAGCAACACCAGGGGTCAAAACCACCTTACCTCTGCTGGAGCTTAGAGATGCATAGACTCCAGTTATTCGAACCTATCTACAATTTAATCTCTACCAATCACTCTGATATAAACAGTGGCAACAATTCTGAATGCCTTAACAGCTTAAAGACAACTTTGAATATAAAGTCAATACATCACATTTAAGTAAATACATGAAGGTTGTATAAAAAATGGTATGACCAAGGACATGACTAATCACATTTTGGAGAGGGGCAGAAAAAAACCACTGCAATATTTTTTACAGGTCAAATTCAAAACAGGGAAAGAAACATAAATTCAACTGCCTTTTCCTTCATATATGCAAATGTCTATAGACAGAACATAATTCAAGATATTTCAATTCTAATGCTGAAATCCCTCTTGTTTGAACACTTTTTTTTTGTTGCAAAAAATGAGATAGCGTGTTGAAAGCTGAACGTTGCGGTGGACACAAAAGGGAAAACATATAATGTCAAATAATGACACAAGCAGCAATGAGAGAGATGGTTAATAAACTTTTGAAATAAGCAATGATATCTAGCAAATGGTGTTAAAAATACTTTCTATAGAAAAATGCAACAACATCAATGCAGGTTTATGATTTTTTTCCCTCTTATTACATGTTTCACCAAGATCCATAAAGAATTGAACTTTATGCTGCACAAAAGGTGATAAACAACTTCTTCACAACATCAATGGCATGTTACCATACTATGACTTCATTCCTATAGGGTAAAAGCTGTATTAAAGGGAGCTAATCTGTACACTTTTTTCTCAAAAATTCAAGGGAGACAACTACTCACCATCCTCACTGAATTCTACAGTCGGCGCAGATTCTTCAACCTTTTGTTGCACTTGCTGCAGCCTCTCCTCCGTGGAGATAAGCTTGCCCTCTGGACCTGGCTCAAGCTGTTCCTCTGTTTAAAACAGTAAAAATAACAATATGTTCAATGCCATAGATACAATTACATATGCAATCTTGTTCTTTACTGTTTACCAAAAAGTAATGGGACAAAATATTTAAATGCTGCAACTACATAGTGATGTGTCATGCTTACCAAACTGATCTTGTACAATTAATATTGATATGTCTTGTGTTAAATTAACATCTATTCTAAGGGTAAACAAAGTCAATATTTTGAATTGAAGCTGTATACAAAAGTCCTGTCAATATACCACAGAAACAACACTCTGTATAGAACTGACTTTATCACTAGTCAAATTCACCAGCCCATAGGTGAACTTCTTCTTTTATCGATGGAAATCAGGTCTTTAAAACGTATGATGTGCTACTTTTCTTTATACTCGATATTTAACATCATTTACTTAAGCTCAATTGTGACTTATTTCAACAAATTTTAAGTCCCCCTCCCGTAACTAACCAGTAATGTGTCACATAATTAAACACAGTTGTGACCAAAGAAGGTTTCAAACCAATGCTACCTTAATTGAGAGGCAGACACCTCAACCACTAAGCCTCTTGCACATTAATTTTACTACTAACCTTGTACAGTGGGTAGACCATCAGGTCCTCCTTTGTGTTCCACTTCCCACTTGTATTTCTCTATCTCATCTTCTGACATTGTCTCAAATGGATTGGCTGCATATTGTGTATGATAAACCTAAAATACAACACGATAAAACTGTAACTTGTATTAAACAATTAGAAGAATATAAAACATTATATCAAATATATCACCGCAGTTCAGAGGCCCAGAATACAGGAATGTTTGTTTCTTATTGCAAATTTTAACATGTTTGGTCATATCTTCGGAGTCGGTCCACCTGGCTAGCTTTTCTGGATAGCTAACCAGAAATAAACGATTACCCCATAAAAACCAACAACTAATCTTACTGATGTCTCGCATGTATCAGTTTTTGCTGGTAGTTTAAACTCAATATTAACTTTCAGGGGTATACTAGCATAGCCTTCTGAAAAGTTTTTCCTACGGGACTGCAGGCTTTGAACCTTGCCTGTTCAACTGAGGATGAAACTGTGACATACCTGTACATTGTGTTGCTGGTCTCTTTGTATGATACCCTTGGAAGCTGCTCCAATCACTATAACACTGTCTCCTGTAGCACTCAGACTTCCATCCTGTAACCATAACAATGACCAATCAGCTATCAGCTAACATACTCATAGCCCAAACATAAACCAATCAACTATCATTTTATATTACAGCAGCAAAAAAAATTCAGCCAATCGAACATCATTCTTTATAAATAGAACAGTGACAATAACCAATCAAAATCTCCATTATAGACCAAATGCCACAACAACCAATCAAATATCAGCTTTCTGAAAAGGTTATTTTTTTCCTCCCAAAACCAGCTTAATTCAAAAACAAAATTTCTATTCTACACTCAATCAAAACTAAGCAATTTTTGTAACTGAATGCTACAGAGATGGACCCTCCCCCCTTTTAAAGTATTATGGTCAACAAATTATGTCATAAAATAAATAAGCGTCTTATCCAAAGCCTGTCTCAAAAGTCTTTTTTTTTCTTTCTGTGAATAACATAACAATATCTCTTGATATTATATAATTACCAAATATACATGTAAATAATATCAAAAATAGACACTATTCTGGCATCTACAGTATACGTATATAAATATAACATTTTTATATCATATAGTTAAAATGTTAAATGAATACAAGTTACATTATTACATTAACATACAAGTTAAATATACATAAATTATTTATTTAAGTGTAGATTGTAAATTGCTGCATGTATAAATCCTTATATAAAAAGTGCATTATCATTAGTATCTTTTAAATATACCCATGACTATTTATTCTTCATATTAGTCAATTAAGGGCTTTCAAAGATATCAATGAATAAATTCATTCAATTATTATTCAATTATTTCGTAATTATATGTATTCAAGGCATCTGAATTTTTTTCTTTATGCATATCTTTAATGTCCTCAAACATTTGACATAGATTTCTGAGTAAAAATAGATTATGATTGGTCATGTTTTGAGATAAATTCTCGCAGAATCCATGTTAATTGCTTATTTAGCCTCGCCATCAGAAAATACCATATGGGTGACACAAAACACAAATCCTGCCACACTCAATATTAACTATAATGTAGTTTAACAAGAAGATCTCAATACTAAAGAGAAACATTCATTGGCGAAAATGTCGACCATTTCCACCAAGTCATTAGCTATTAGATATTACCTCCCTTTATGAAGTTATTAACATTACCTCCCTTAACAAAATAATTTATATTATCACCCTTTTATAGACGATTAAATATTTCTTCACTTATGTAGATAACCAACCTCGGTTATATTACCTCCCTTTAATAAATGTGTTATATTATCTCCCTTTAAAAATGATCATATGAAATGATTTCCATTACCTCCCTTTATCAAATGATTAATTTCACGCTCACATACAACATCAAGAAGCAGAGAACTAAATGTTATAAACAATCATGATAAAAATGTCAATACACTAAAATTAAAACACATTACCTATTAACGATCAAGCATTTTCAACTTTGATATTTAAAAACCTTATTAGTGAAAATTTGCACTTTCAACTTTGATATTTAAAAAAATTATTAGTGAAAATTTGCACCATCAAAAAAGTCAAAAAACTATTTCTAAATTAAGATCATGGAACATTTTAACGCTAAATGCAATATTTTTTGGCAGAATAGTCTCATTCCTGTGCCAAAATGTTAAAAGCTTTTCTATGCAAAAGTGATAAAAACAAAACACCTATTGTCAGCAATTTCATTCTGATTAAAAAATACATGTTTAAAACTTTTAGTTCTTTACTTTTCCAGAATACAATGATTGGAAGCAGATTACGGAAAGCAAGTGAAATATAAATAAAGGATTGTGTAACTTACATGGCCGTTTGACTCTGCTAGCTGAAACAGTGGCAAAATAACGTTGCTATGTTACACATTACAGAAAACACGAGCACACAAATCTATAAATAGCATCAGCACATGACTGCTGCAGCATAGTTACACTACAGTAAGCTCAGAATGACAGCACTTTAAAGGTACTTATTTTAACCATAGTAAGTAGGAAAATAAATTAAAATGGAAACCATAAATTTTGACCAACATCACTCCATTGTAATCTGCGCCTGGCCCTCAAATAGCTAGGACTCGAGACATTAATAAAGGTATTTGTTTCTGTTTCTGCCTTTTTTATGCAGATATTAACACATTTTTTGGTCATTTCTTAGGGGTATAACGGGCTTTCCTGGATAAATAACCTCTGATAACCACTTTCACAGCAAGTGACCGACGTATAACCCCACATGTATTAGCTGTGAGAGACCATTAAACTCAATGTCCGAGATCAAAAATTATTGTAATGGAGAAATTTTGCCTCGCCAAAGGATTGAACCAGCAGCCCTTTGATTACAAATCAGCTGCTCTACTTACTTAGCTAAGCGAGTGGACTTATAAAGATAAAAATACCTATAAATCTTAATATCTTACTTCCCTGGTGTTTCATTTGTTAAAAGTACTATTATCTTATATAGTAGATATCTTTATCACATAAACCGTGGCGCAGGAGTGTAATAAAGCCATGTAATAAAAACAATATTACACTAGTGTAATAACACTTTGACGTGACGTCATTTACGCTATATAGAAACATAGCGTTAAAGCGTGCTAATGTTAGTGTTACACTATAGGCGCGTCATTGAAAAATTATCCATTTTAACATTTGACTGTTCTTATTTTATATATGTGATAAAAAGAATATTATATCCGTGTAGATTCAATACTAAATTTATTGAACTCGTTGAATAAAACAATATTATGCTTGCCAGAGGCTCGCATAATATGATCTTATTCAACTCGTTCAATAAATTTAGTATTAAACTACATTCATTTAATATCCTCTCTATATAAATATCACACCTAGAAAAATTGACTAATTTTTGTCCAGAACATTTTCCCTATAAGTGCTGTCATTTTCAGAAAAAAAATAACATCAAACAATATTAAAGACTTCCTGACTGAAAAATAACACTATTAATTCAAAATCTGACAAAAATCAATTTCACTACAACAAAAATTTATCAATTGAAAGTAACAAAAACAAGATAAAATAGTAACTGGTCACTATGAAAAACAATGTGCTAAAGCTACCATGCTTCAACCAAGCTCTGGAGTAATATACAATGTAGTAAAAATCTTGTGAATCCATGTGAAATGAAAATGTTCCTTACTTGATAACGTACTATGTACTCTGTAGTTAAAGCTGGTAAATTCATGTGTTTATTTTTTTTTGTTGGGAGTCGCACCAAACCTTTACAGGTCATATGGTGTCTTTCCAGATTTACTGGTTGGAGGAAGAGCTCAAGTGCCCCTCTGTGCATTATTTACGGTACAAGCCAGCACCAGAGTAGAATCACTGACTGACCATAAGCTAGCTGGACAGCTAACTGCCATGAAAGAATTCAAAGTCTCTGACTGGACTCGAACCCACAGCTGTGAAGGGCAAGGGATTTTGAAGTTGATGAATGACCTTATCCACTCAGCCACTGATGCCCCATGTGAAATATACTCAAACATTGATATATGAATCCATGTGAAATATAGTAAAAACTTATGAATCCATGTGTAATGTAGTTAAAACTTATGAATCCATGTGTAATGTAGTTAAAACTTATGAATCCATGTGTAATGTAGTTAAAACTTATGAATCCATGTGTTATGTAGTAAAAAAACACCTTATAAATCCATGTGTAATGTAGTAAAAACTTTTTTTGTTTAGGAAATAGATATCAATTCTGAGTGCATTGTTGTAGAATAATGCACGGTTTGAGTTCAAATGCGTAGTAATATAATCACGAAGGCCGATAGGCCTGAGTGATTAATTACAAAGCATTTGAACGAAAAACGTGCATTATTATACAATAATGCACGAAGAATTGATATCTATTTCCATTCTAATACGTCAAGAAAAATATAATTTTTATTATAACGTTGGACTTTATGTTTGGTGGTTGAATTTGTTTTCGCCTCAGAGTTTCCAATAGAAACGTTCTTTAGAGGCCGTTCCAGTGGGTTGAAAAAAAACTGTTAAATCTACCGTTTGTAGAAACATTTTGAAAATAACGAATTTTGAAAACGTTGATACAACTTTGTTTGTTTATTTATTTCAGTTTATAATTTTTCCAAGCGAAATACAAATCATTAAAAGTGAAATAAATGTAAAACTAAACTCGTTTGCGACATTAAATAGCGAACTTGATTTGATTGTTTTGCACGTGCTGTTTGGCGCTACATTGTGACGTCACGTAAACAACATTTTTAAACGTCTGTACAGCGTTAACGACTGAATTAAAGATATTGGTGTTCGGATTAATTTTCTTAGTTAGACCATTTTCTTTCATTCTAGATAGTTTTCACAACAAAATTCGAAAAAAATTGTTTTAATTTATCAGATTTTTTAAACAAAATGGCGCCTTCAATGTGAAAATACACAGGGAGATAATAAGAACGGCGAGTGCATTGTTGTAGAATAATGCACGCTTCCGGCCTTCTTTGTCTATATAGAAAAAATTCCGATAGTGTTAGAATTTTTGTTAAATGTAGTAAAAACTTATGAATCCATGCATTATATAGTAAAAAACTAAGGTATTTACGCATAATTTAGTAAAAACTTTATTATTTATAATTTATAATGTATTTAAAACTTATAAATTAATGATGAGTTATGAAACAAAACAAAACTATCAAATTGTATGTAAAGTAGAAAAAATTGTTTTATACTTGTGTTAAATATTAACAGCTTATATTAATTGTATAATTTAGAAAATATATCATGAAACCATTGCTGTGCAATGTAGGAAAATATACAATAATAGAAATGAAGCAAAACTTAATAAAATCATATGTATGGTAAGGAATTGATAAATTTGTAGATAACTACTAATGGTATCTTAAATTTTGTAATGAAAACTTTGTCACACTAGGTTACAAGTTAATGCTTAGCTGGAAGCAGGAGTGACTAGTCTCCTTGACAACAGTATATAGCCAAGCCAGACAGCACATCTGTATAGGCTAACCAGGCCTTATACTGTAAATCGCTCAATCTGTGTATTTTGATATCAAAATCCCTTTAACTTTCAATGGACTGTTCCATATTCAAAGAAGAGAATATCTCATAATCTGTAACAACAATTCAGCAGGTTCCTGGATAAAACCTTACTTGAAAAAGAGTAAATCGTTTGATAAACAACAAAATCTTTTCACTGGAATTTGGTGTTTATATATAATAAATATATTATTGTGTTAATTTTTTCGTGATGAGGGTAGCTGTGCTTTGCCTGGTATATATATGATGTGGGATTAACCTTGGTGAATAAAGTATTTATACCTTATATGGCTGAATAGGAAAGGATTTTATATATATATATAGGTTCAAGGTATATATTTTTCTCAGAAGAAAGTAAATATGCTATTTCTTAATGATTCACCTGTAAATTTATTTTCTTTTTAAAACCCTCATTTTAATGTTTTATAAAAAGTATAGATAGAGCTGATTAAACTTGTGAATAAAATTACAAGATAGAATTAAAATGAGTGAATGAGTAATAAGTACGTAAAGTAAGTTTGTATGATATCTCAAAGAATAGTTGGAAATATGTCTAATATGACCTGTGGAAGATACAACATTGGAAATAATGTTTTATGAATGTGCAATGGACCAAAACAGCTTCTATATAAACACATGTATATAATGTATACATATTATAAATAATTCTTTTCCTTAATTTTTTGTTAATTGTATTATTGTGTATTTCAAAATAGACAGCTTCCAGATTCAAATAGAAAAAAAATAAAATGATGTCTTGGTATATTAATAATATTAATTTGAAAAGAATACCATGTGATCATATTTAAGCCAATGAGAGATGATCTAACAAAATAAAGCAAAACAACTAATTTGCATATTAAGACCCACCTTCATCTTCTCTGCCTCCTCCCATGTCATGCCTTCCAGAATTTTAGACTGGGGTCCAGCATTTATTCTCTCTTCATAATAATCTTTCTTTATCTACAAACAAACAAGGAACCATTCCAGTGTAATACATAAACTTCTTTCTTTTTTTTAAGTCATTAAATATCCATATATCTTAATTCTATACATTGTATGTTAAACACGATAAAAAAGTCTTTTATTTTAATTTTACCATACAAATTGTACCTATGACATGTTTTAAGTATTCTCATTTACAGTAAAATTTTGAAGAATTGTAAGAACTTGTTTAAAATAAATAAAGGCCCAGTGAAATCCCAGGACAGAATAGGTAGAATGGAGAAATGCATCCTTATAGCATACGCAGGATAATTTTTTGTACTAACACCATATTTTTTGCGTAATTGATGCAAGAGCCTAATACATAAGAAACCGATGAAACTTGTAACTTATACTAAAGATGCTTGATTCTTAAATCAAGTTAGCTTGAAAATAAGCATATTTATGGATACCAGAAAAATGAAATGTCTTGACCTTTTTCAAATTCCAACACCTTATAGATAGTATTGTAAAATTATACATGTGGAAATATAACGATTTGCCCCACTGACTTCACCCAACTTTACTGATGATTTGCCCAATTTAGTGACTAATCTGGGACGCAACGTCACTAAAGTGAAGCGAGCAGTCATGTTGAGCAAATCCTTACCAATTCACATATATTACTGTCTGCATCTGCAAAAAGTTCGTAGAAAAAAAAACCTTACTTGTTTTTGTTTCTGTTTGAATTCTTTCGGGTCGGATCCCTGTGGTGCAAATTGGTTAGGGCTGTCTACTTTAATTGGTGTGCTAGTTCTTTTTGGTGAGCCATCTTCAGCCTCATCTTTAACCCACTGTACAAAAAAAACAACATAAATTTGAATATAATCATATGTTTATTCACATATGTTTATGTTAACTGCTTCAATAAGACAATATACCACTTAAAAAAGTATATTTTCAGCCAGAATTTAAGCAACAGTGAAAATTTCCTCTTGTTATTTCAAGTCAAAATTTACACATTGCCCTTGCCGCCTATATAACATTATGCATATATACCACTTTATTTTGTTTCTTCAATAATCTTAAACAAAAAATACTGTTTCCATTATAAGTAGGATTAAATTAAAAATGTTTTTAAACAATGCTTAGAATACAATTTTATATGTCCTCCAAAAGATCCGGTCACAAAAAACACATTTGAGCCGCGCCATGACAAAACCAACGTAATGCGTTTGCGACCAGCATGGATCCAGACCAGCCTGTGCATCCGCGCAGTCTGATCAGGATCCATGCAGTTTGCTCTCAGTTTCTCTACTTGTAATAGGGTTTGTAAGCGAACAGCATGGATCTTGATCAGACTGCGCGGATGCGCAGGCTGGTCTGGATCCATGCTGGTCGCAAACCCATTATGTTGGTTTTGTCATGGCGCGGCTCATTTCATGGAATGGCTACCTTAGTTATATAAACATCACAATTACATCATCTTCAAGATTTTAATCAAACCGGTTATAAAAAACGTAAAATATTTTAAAAAAAAGGTGTATGTGTTTCATTTAAATTGTTTTGAAAAAACCCTTTTTAATAATCAGTAATAAATTTAAAAAAGTAACAGTTTTGGGTGTGGTTTAAGGCAAAGGAAAAATGGCCTTTGGGGAACAAACCTTAAAAAGCTTTTTAAAATTTTAAAAGCAAAAAAAATTTTTAAATAAAACTTTCTCTATTTGGGTTAAACTTTTAAGCATATATCATTTGCAAAGTTCATAACAGTAACTGAAAACAATTTTTCAATCTTCATCACTAACTATCCTCCTTAATTTGTATAATCGTTTGACCTCCCTCTGAATGGGGGACCAGTCTATTTATAATGTAAGGGATTTCAATATTTAGAAGTCTGGTCAAACTGTAAAGACATGCAGACTGACCCAGTTCTATACTGGTGACATGAGCAAGTCATAATCTTTTCAGTAGTTAGTCATCATCCAACTTAAACAAGATATTTCTTCCAATTACTAGTCATTACCTCCCCTTAGCAAGAAATTCTCTTCCCTAATCATGATATTATCTTCCCTCAAAACAACAATATCTCCTATTAATGAGACCACCTCCCCTTAGAAAGGCATAATCGTCCTTTCCAAGGGCTTTAAACTCCCCCTTTCAAAAAATTATCTTTTCCCAATTTATGACTTATCTTTCCCCCAGCAAACATTACCTCCACTTTGAAAAAACAATATCCCCACTGACAAATAAAACCTTGTCTTAAAAAAATGCATTTTCCCCCCTTTTTTTAAAACTATTATCTCCCCCTTAGCAAAATTTTTATCTTTCCCCCAAACATTTGAAAGACATAATCTATTTCCTTTTAAAAAACAATATCTCCAAAATTAAAAAACAACCTTGGTTTAGAAAGGCGTTATCCCCCTTAGCAATACAATTATCTCCCCTTAGCATCACAAAATCTCCCATCAACAAAGACAACACCCCTTATAGTAAGACAATATCTCTTTAGCAAAGCAATCACCCCTTAGTTTGTCATTATCCCCCTTTAATCTCCCTATCATTCTAAATATTTATAGAAAATCATTTTTGCCTATTTTGAAAAATAAAGAACTACTTTTAAAAACTGTAACATTGCACTAATTACCTGTACACTATTTACACTTCACACTATAATATAGTAATTGAACTTTCATTTCAGAAGTACCCTATAAACCATCCACATTTAGCACTAAGTTTCTAAATATTCTAAACATTAATAAAATTGCATATTCATTGACGAATTAATATTCATGTTCAAAACCTATTTTCTGACAACTATTTATCTTATCACATGGTGTATGTTAGGACAGCATCAGCAAATGATCTCCATTACCAGAAGTAACTTACATTTTGATTTCATATCATAATATCCCAATGTCATACCAATGAAAAATATTCCCAAACCTCAAAATATTCCTAAACCTACATAAAATTTAATAATATATTCTCACCAAACAAAATTCTGCATTTTTTAAAAAACTTTATTTCATTTTTCCAACAAAAAACATCTATTTTCAGCCAAACCCTTGTATATAACTTAAAAAAAGCAAAACAATAGTTAAACTAATTAACTGTAAAATTAGGCCCAAACAAATTCGAAGCTTAATAAATTTCTATCAAGGGACAAAATTATCAATTACATTCAGTGAAAATGTCCTATCCTTATCCTTATTTTTGCACCAAGAGCTATCACAGGGACAGCATGCTCAACTATCCTTAGACCTTAACAGTAAGAGTGAAGGCTGACACATCCACAGGAATAAAAACTCAAATATTTCGAAAGTTCATACAAGAGTTATGGCTCTTGTCTAGAAGCCTGCAATCAAGCTTCTGAAGATAAGTGCAGATTATTTATTTTTATGGCAATATCTTCAGTGAATGCAAAGAATTTGTTGGAAGAGAAACTAAACAAGAAATTTTCTCAATTCACAAAGGTAAATGATTAGGAAACAATCACTGCTAGATTAACAAGTCTTGGTTAATTATATACATGTATGAGGTATCTATGAATTTATAAATAGATTTTTTAATAGATTTGTTTCATTTTGATTTGGGTTTTTAATGTCACTCAAACACAGTATAGGTCATATGGCGACTTTCCCGCTTTACTGGAGGAGGAAGACCTAAGATGCCCTGCCGTACATTATTTCAGACACAAACAGGAACCTAAGTAGAACCATGGACATTTGGTAAGCTAGCTGGATAGCTTCCTCTCAAAAGTCCCTGTAGGATGTTAACTCACGGCGGTGACAGGCAAGTGGTTTGAAGTCAACGGCCTTAACCATTCAGTCATGGACACTCCTTCCTTTAATAGATAAAGAGAGAAATGATAAAGAAAAATGAAATGGCATGTCCAAAACATTAACTAAATGTTTCACATTCACCTTGGACGGTACAATAGTGCAATGCAGATAAACTCCCATTTTTATTTTCTCAAACAGTTGAGCAATATACTTCACAATCTTCCATCAACTATCAGGTCTCAAACTTTATGTAAAATGAATGCAAACATGATTTTCATAGAATGGTATTAATACTGCCTTTACTTTATCTTAAAGTGACATGAAGTTATTAATTTTTTCAATATCTGGAATCAATAAGAAAAACATCATTTGGCAACTTGACAATATAAAAATACCAGACTCAGGGACTCTGTGATAAATGAAACCTCAGCAAAAAAAAAAAAAAAAATCAAAATACCAAGTTTTATTTTTGAGAACTATCACATGTATTCAATCAACTGTGTAACCTGCCATAAGTTTCAGTATTTGTAACATTTAAGAACCAACGTGAATTAGCCGCATTTGTTAACAAGTCAAAACTAAAAACCAAACAGTTATATGTTTTAGCCTTTTTCTAAACAGTGGTGTGGTGTGTTAACAATTTACCTTGCCTATGCCCATCTGTAAATGTAATAGGTTAAATATCACCATAACATTTTATTATATTCAACTAGCTTAAAAGTGCTGTATAGATACAAGTACTATGGTTTTTAATATACATGTACAGTGTGACTCCTAATTGTACAACTTTTTGATGACTCCGCAGTAAATTTCACATGCATAAGAGACAGTTTTGTAAGAAAGCCTTTACATATGTAAAATGTTCCAGCATAACACTTTTTTTCTTCTTTTCTTTTAAAAACTTTAACTATAAAACTTTTATCTTTTTTTTATAACTGAAGTTAGGTAATATTTCTTCCAAGACACTGTTACTTGTAGTATTTCACATCATATGGCAGCTAGCTAAAGCAACATATTTCATTTTTAAAAACCAATAATTACATTATAATTATATGTGTTATGCATTACAAATGATGTAACAAATTAACAACAATATTCTCTAATGGCAAACTGCATGTTAAAAACTCCTATAACAACTAACCAAGAACATTCAATCATCCCTGTCCATAGAGAGCCTATGACATTAATTTCATATACATTTATTCATAATATTTTGACAACATATTCATAAATCTGCATTTTATATGTAAATCAGCCGGCTCTACATGCATATAGACCTGAGCTTAGCATAAAACAAGTTAAGGCTGTCAATAAAAATAAATCAATGTCCACATAGTGTATTCTTAAAGCAAAGCCAATAAACTTACTAAATAGGAATGAAAATAAAATACAATACATGCTATTCCAGAAAATTTCTTGAAATTTGTGAAAGACTTATTTTTTTAGAATAACATACAGACTTAGTGCATATTGTTGTTGAAAATAACAAAATTATATTGGGTCAGTATAACTACATTTTTACCAAGAAAAAGTTCCCATTAACCTACAATTGCTCTAAAAGAGTGTGCATTATAAGTGATAAACCATTTTTGATGTACCTTTAATTTTGGTAAAACCACCTTCCAGAATTCAGCTATATTGAAATCTACATGTATAGCAAATAAAAAAAGTTGAATATTCTCTATTTTTTTAAGTCAAATAACATCTTTTTTTTTGTTTTCAGATTTGGTTTGCAAGTCACTAAAGTTAACTTAATTGCCTGTTCAATGAGCAGGATCATACCTTTGTAATTTTTTTGGGATTCTGTGTTCCTATTTCATCCATCTCCTGTCTGACATACACATTAGGTGAATTTAACCAACCCACTTTATATTGCTGTTTCTGTCTCTCCATTGCTGCTTTAATAGGGGACCTGAGATATACACAAATAAAATATATTATACCTGAAATACAACTTGATTCGGTTAACAATCAGTAAGTTATATATAAGTATAAACCTACATCGTTTGTTGGAAGTATCAAACCTAATCACTGTGTATTTGTTTGGTTTTCAGGCACACCAATACAGTATAGGTCATATGGCGCAGAAACAGGAAAGATAACTTCGAGTGTTACATATATCAAAGCAACACCAGGGGTCAAAACCACCTCACCTGCTGGAGCTAAGAGATGCATAGTCTCCAGTCATTCAAACTCATTAAGTTGCCTCTTACAATCACCCAGGGATATACGTTGGCTACAATTCTTATGCCTCAACCATTAAAGGCAACTTTTCAGCCACCACAAGGGGCAGAGAACCTATTTTTTTGGCTCAGTGGTAAGGATATTACTTTGCGTTCAGACATTTTGTCCTGTTGCTTCAACACCTGTTTTAACAATACATTTTGTATTTGAGTAAAACATAGATGAACAGAAACAAAACAACACTCTCTGAATTAAGGACTTGCAATAAAAGTAACTGCAAATATCTTAACTAACTTATTTGCAATATTCCTTCAATTTCATGGGTACTTACATATTTTTAGAATGTTCAACATCGCCATCAAAGACGTATGTGAATGAACTAGATGCTGGTGGAACTTCAACTTCAGCATTTGACCTCTCTCTTCTTGACTCACGTTTTATGTTGGGGTGTTTGTATGAATAACCAGTTCTGTAGCCCTACAATATAGAAAACAAATGGCACATCAGTCATCGTGGAGTATAATAAATCATTGTGGTGGCATATAAGTAATTGTGGAGTCTTAAAAAGGTGTTCACCAATTCATCAATGCATCACAATATATGAGACCTTTAGTCAGGAAAAAATGAAAATAAAAAGTATAAAATCACATGCTTCTGAGAAACAAGAGCAAAATATTAACCAAAGAAAGGTAATGTCTAAAGTGGTGTGAATCGAGAAAAACATTAACTTCTTTAGATTAACATTTTGTACTATCACCCTCAGAGGGATCTGATAAGTATTTCATTATATCCAAACCTTATCTAGAAATATCAATAAGAAATTCTCAATGTGGATTTTCTTCAAGTTTCCTTTAATCTTACAATTTTGCAATGTGGGTCTATATTCCACAAAACTTTGACAAGTTTCTATTCCATGCAGACCAGTGATTTCCCATGACTATTTCTAGAAGCATGCCAGAGTATTTTGCCATGTCTGCTTATTTTCAGAGAGTAATATTGTAATATCATACAGTCAAATTATGAATCATAAAAATGATGAATATATGGCAGTTGAAACAGGCAAGGTCATTTGAGGTAGAATACCTGCCTTGTGCCAGAGAAAACTGGCAGTACAGTACAATAAATTTACTAGAAAATTCCCTTATGCAGCAAGATGTATCAACACACTATTAATATTGTCAGTAAGTGAAAATAAGTTCATAAAGCTTGATAGGCAGAAGAAGTCCTCAGTTGCCATTTAAAGGTGCTAAAATGCCATCAGAAGACGTCCTCAAATGCCATTAGAAGACATCCTCAGTTGCCATTAGAAGACATCCTCAAATGCCATTTGAAGAAGTCCTCGGTTGCCATTTAAAGGTCCATAAATGCCATTAGAAGACGTCCTCAAATATCATTAGAAGACGTCCTCAAATGTCATTAGAAGACGTCTTCAGTTGCCATTTGAAGAAGTCCTCGGTTGCCATTTAAAGGTCCACAAATGCCATAAGAAGACGTCCTCAAATATCATTAGAAGACATCCTCATATGTCATTAAAAGACGTCCTAAAATATCATTAGAAGACATCCTCAAATACCAATAGAAGACGACCTCAGTCGCCTTTTCAAAATGTCCTCAGTTGGTGTATGTGTATCATTTCAGACAAGATCTGAAAACGATTAGTAACCACTGTAAAATAAAGTCAACATCGGAAATAAATATGTTGTCAAACTTACAGCATTATCCATCAGTCTCATCTGAGCTTCAAACTCCATCTCTCCGATTTTCCATTTTTTGCCGGACGAGTCGACACCTCCTCCACCTTGGTTTGCTGTAGCGAATGTTCTCTGCTTGATCTCTTGACTTACAAGTATTAAGTTATCTACACCAGCAGGCATTGCTTGAATCTGTAAATTGTAAACGCATACATTCTTATTACTATCTCTTTAACCCCTCGCCAAAGATTAATTTAAAGCAATTTACAAGTCCTGATTTAAACTTAGAACTATTCATCGATTGCCAGAGAGATTCGAGATTTAAAGTAATGTTTCAATAAAATTGACAACAGAGGACCACACTTTCTGATGTGTCAGTAATTTCAGACACAAACACTTCATTATAAGAACCAACCTTCTGGCAAATTCAAGCTTAATAAATTCCTTACATTTGAGAAGAGAAGAGAAGCAAGGGTTTGAAAAAGTCAATCACCTGCCCTTGATAGCCAGTCATTTAAAGGCCAAGGTCATATCTAAATTATTCAACATGCCTATAACAATTCCTCTAATTTAGTATTCTTTGAAAATTACAAAAAGAAAATCAAGCTTAAAATAAGCAATGATAAAACCTGTCTTTAAAAGATCTAAGCAACTAGATATCAAATTCTGACATCAAATTTTGACAAGAATTCATGTCTAGACTACACAACACCCTTGGTACTCTCCAAAATTGACATTGAGCCATTTATCAATCATAGAATAACCATCATCTCATTTTATTTATTGTTACTAAGAGACCTGTTTGGCGGACAACTTGAGTGTATATTTATGACACATTCACTGCAATATAACTTTGTGATAACAATCAATATTAAACAGGATGTTTTTCCTATGCTATTCTCGGTAATGAGGACTTGACAGCAGTAAAATGCTTTATCCCTAGACAATTGCATCCATTTCGCATGGATAAATCAATGAAGAGTTAGGAATTTAATTAAATTGTCTCCTTACTATTTTTAGTGCATCAATATTTTTACAGAGTGCAATAATACAACTTATTAGAGTTATACATGGAAAAACCGTCCAATTCCAAACTTGCTGACTCAGCTCTTTATTTTTAAAGTTAAAACTGCCCGACGTTAATTTACAGGTTTTCAATACTGAAAAGCTAAACATTAGCAGTCGACAGTATAAAGTCTGATTATAGTGATAAGGCTGCACAGAGATGAGTATGACGGGTCCGAGTCAACACTGCTTAGTTAGTCAAGTTATTATCACATCCAGAACAATTCTATGACTTTAACCTATTTATTATTGGGAATAAACCATTAATAATTTGTTTGAGATTTCAAGATGACAATTTTAATATCAATCACTTAACCGTGTAGATCCTGGTCAGACTGCATGGAACATAATGACATAAAATTAGTTGAGTTCACAATAGGAAAAGATAATAAAACGGAAAAAAAATTAAACAGGAATATATGAAAGTTTTACCTGTGCATTACAGGCATTTACTACATTAAAAGCATAATGGTATGCTTCCTCTATAGAAGTTCCACATGCTACAATACCATGGTTACGCAATATCATCACCTGAAATAATAAAATAACACATTCAGTTTATACTTATTTATTTTAGTTTGAATGTGTTTGAAGCTATAAGCTTATTGAAACACTTTTGAATCTACTAAACAATGAGTGTAAAGTTTCTTGATCACAGAAACAACGGCTTGTCCCTAAACCGACTTGATCAACAATCCTTAGATTACTAGTCTGACATCATATTTATTAGGATCAAACTCTCTAATTTCAGTATTTTTTTTCTGAAATTGAAATCATTTTCTCACGTCTTGAACTCAAAAGTCTTGGTTGTTCAAGTACTCTAGAAATTTTAACATTTTAGCAAAATCTTTTATATTAACAGGATTTTTTTTTAAAAAAGCTGAATTTCTATGAAGATTTCTGGTTAAACTTAACCGAAATATACTTAAATTTTGCAGCACACTGTATAGAAGTTACCTCCCTTTGTAAGAACAGTTTCTACAGTTTGAACACATTCTATTGAGTGACAACAGATTACAAATTTAAAGGGACTCCACTGAGGTTTCTTGACATGACAGGACTGGAAATAATTTTCGAGATTAATATTCCATTTGATACAGATCTAGACCAATAACTTTTGTGCAAAATTTCAGATCATTAGCTCACTCAGACTTTCCAGAATAAATACTTATTGTGATAAATTAGAATAGCACAAAAATAAGATTTTTTTTACTTATTTTTGAGTATTTCCTAATTATCTTTTAGCCTCAGCTGATCTATGTACGAAAATTAAAATTTTATGTTATTAGACTTTTAGACCTCAGTGGTGTTCCTTAAATGGTCACTGCCTTATGAAGACCAAGTTAATGGTATCTGGATTTGCACAAAGGAACCACAGGTTCAAGTCAACCATGATTTTCTTGTACTACACCAGAGTTTACTAGTCGAAGAAGCAGACTTGAGGATAGCTTCAGTTCTAATAAGCTCTCCAAGTTGAACACAAACTTACTTTATTAATTGGTCCTAGATTTCTCTGTAGAGACTCGCGTTCTTCCGGGTCTACCAAGATACCATTGTAGTCATGGTAACTGACCTCCCCACAGATCAATGACTCTTGTGATAGAGGCAAAAATCCACACTTCATACCAGATACCTGAAATATACAACAGTATGTCATAGGCAATTCATCAACATATCACGTCTTTCTTTTTATTCTGTTACTAGAGAATATATTATACTTATCTTCACCTTATCATAAAAGATTTTACCAGCAGTTTCTTTGAATAGTCAATTCAAGCTGTGCAAATATTTTACACATTAAAGTTCACAAAATTTCAATACTGTGTGACAAACAGTATGAAGCCTGGTCAGACTGTATGGATGGCAGGCAAGCCTGGCTCTACACTGGTTACAGAGGCTTATCACTTTCAGTCCCTGTAGGTTAAGGGTTTAAGTTTTCTCCTGAAAACATCGAAATAAATTTCTACCATCATTCTTTGAATCAACTTAACCCATGTCTGTTGAATTCAAATATTTACATTAATCTGCAATTCGTTCTACACTTAAATTTCTCGATAACTGTTTCTTGATGAATTACTAGGAATCTACCGTATGTGGTGCCAAGTCTAACATCAATATAGAAACATTTTATTCCTCAATGTTTTGTGTCTGGAAATTGTGTTGTAAGAAAATTCTACATAAACTTTCATCATTGTAATACTAAATTTTCAAACAGACCTTTCCAAATTCAAAGCAAGGTGATTTCATTACAAATTCAGCAATAGGTTTAGGGGTGAAACTACCTAAAAAAGTATACTTACAGCCACTACAGAAGGAGTATGAAGATGTATGATACATTTAATGTCTGGGCGAAACTGATGTATTGCCGAGTGAAGCGTAAAACCGGCCTGATTCACCCCAAGAGTTGTTGCCCCTGGGTCTATCACCTCTCCTCGTAAGTCAATCTTTACCAGCGAAGAAGCTGTTATTTCTGAGTATGTCATACCAAATGGGTTAATTAGAAAATGTTCTTGGTCTTGACTAATTCTTGCCTGAAACAAAATCAAAGTATTTGTTACAATGTTAATCTTTTCGGTGTCATATTTGATCACATTTGCATAACTAAACTTATACTGACTGCAGTATTTAGGACATACCCAAATCTAAACAGAAATTGACAAAAATGAACAATATACTTCCTCATAGAATGGTACTTAAATAATAACCTTAAAATGCATTGGTTTTATAAGATTTGTAATTGTAAAGTCATTTTTTTTTTTATTTATTTTTTTTTTTTATGACTCTGAACTTATACCGACCCTTAAAAGGTCAAATGGTGACTTTTGAGCTTTACTTTGAGAGGAAGACTTCTGTGCATTATTTGAGGTAAACAAAACACTTGTGTTATGTAATAGATCATAATAGCTGCGTATTCAGCCAGCTTAGATACTCTTTATATCATCATCATAACAACTATTTATTATCTCCCCTGATTCTGCAATAACATTTGTGTCTGATCTGCCAACATCAAAGGCAAACAAACAAATCTTACAACTCAAACAACCAGACACTAGTGCAGTAAAATATGTGTTTATAGCGCTCGCATTCTGTATAACATATCATTCACATTCACTGCATAATTGTATATGTACAAAAATGTATATAAATAGAAAATCGAGATATTCTGCATTTTATCAGTCTGCACAAATAAAAGACTTTACAATCAATCTTTATTATAACACAGCCATACATTAAATTTGTAAACATGAAGTTTTTTCAACATTATGACAGATTTATAGCCTCAAATTCCTTGTTTAATATTGCATTATTTGGAGATTAAGTTGCACTGTCAAGGTCTTAAGATGACTTTCCAGCTATATATATTGATGTAATAAATTCGCATAGGCTTAAAGCAAGTGTGCACACTAGTAGAGCCACCTATCTTAAAATAATTCAATCTTTCCAATATGGTTACCCATGGACACTTGGGGGTGTGGAGCTCAAAATGCCTTACTATTATTATAGATGTATGACTTTTTTTTTCCAAAACAGCAAATATTAAGAAAAATTGATAAAAATGATCAGTGTATGTGCTGGTATTGACAAATATACTGTTTGGTTTTAAGGCATTTGGAGCTCAGCCTCCCAAGTGTCTGTGTGGCAAACTAAACTGAAAAGGTTAAGTGAGACAAGTGATGCAAGAGGTCAGTTACCTTAAACATTGATCTAGCTTATTTTAACCTGAACCACTCTCAAGATCATTTTCTGGAACTGTGTAAGGAAACATGGCTGCGACCTTAGTAAGGCTCGTACCCATGACGCCTATAATAAGAGCGAGACACAAGACGAATGCGACAACTTTACTCATTACGTCGATGGTTCATACCAGTACTGAGGATAAAGAAACCACACACATATATCAGTACATACTTTATCAATAGTGAAAATCAAGGGGAAATAACTTACTGTGATGTGATTATAAATGCTATGTGTCCATCCATTATTGTCTACTAGTCTGTAACAGGAGGCGAGTTTACATCGTAACACTTTCTCCTGTTTTGTGTAACTCATTGCCTCCGTACCCTTGATGTCCGACACTGGAATTACTGGGGTCGCTAAAATATACAAGAGTTTTTCATTATTATTTCCATCATTACAAAATTATAATGATTTTTTTTTTTAACAAAGATACGTTTTTGGTAGAACAATACAGCCATAGGGAGGCAAAGATTCTCGCTTTTGCTGAGTCGTGATTTATTGTGAAGGTTTACTATGGGAAGAATTGATATTGTTTTTGTTCAGAGATTATAGGTAACAGTGGGCTTCCCTGTCGAGGTTAAACTGTTATCACATAGATATTTCAATATCTTCAATAAAACAATACCTTGAAATTTTTGGTGTATGTGACCCACAGGAATTTCACATATTTCAATCTGATCTTGCTATTATTTACATATATCTTGAAATTTTACCAAATTTCAGCCATGTTTACTACAAAATTACTCGTTTTACATTATTTTCTGTTCATAATAATTTTATTTTGTTACATCAAAAGCTCATCCCCCCTTTAACCTCCTTACTTGTTCACCAGTGTGTGAACAGCCAGATCTAATGTCAAAATAAACAGCTATGTGTCATCCAAGTTTTGTAATTTCAGATCTCTTTTTTTTTTACAAAACATAAATGTGAATCTTAAAGGTCAAATAACAGAAAAGAATGTGGCGAAATAATTCACAGCAGTTTTTTTCCATTTATCAAGCCGAGAACCATATTTCACCAGACAAGATTTCAATGCAAGACTGATGTAACTTAATGACCTTAAAGAACAAGTTAAAATACTGTTGCATAAAACTCCTAAAGTGAGTCACTGTACTTCTTCAGCAACACACACCACAAGTTTCATCAAAATATTAACTAGGACCTTTGTGTATTAGGACCGCAGGTATTCAGGGCTTCTTTTTTCTTAATGGACAGGGAAAGGGGCTGATCCCTTAAATTTGGGCTAAAAATAACATGGTATTATCGCAGAAAGGGGAAGAAAATTTAGGGGAAAACTGTACTATGATCTTAGAGAATCAGAGGGGAAGAGGCTAATCAACAGCTCCTGATATAGAATGAAAAGAAGCCCTGGTAATTTTCTTTTTTTTTTTTTTTTGGTTTTCAGTATAAAAGTAGTACATGTATGATCATACTATATTTTTATGGTATTTCTATATTTCAGCCTTTTATAACCTGCTGAATTTCTTTCTCTGGTGAAGGTGAAGGTGAAATCACTTTTGGTTCCAGCCGGTAAAGGGTTTATTAGTGGTTTTCTAAACCACTTGGCCATGAATGTACCTATGGCAGACTGTTATATACATTTATATTTTCTATATCTAATATATAATCTATATAGAGTGGCAAAATTTTGAAAAACAAATCAACTTTTCATTAAATAACAAATCAACTTTTCATTGAATTGATTCTACTGATATATTTTATAAATGGACTACTGTTTAAGGATATACTATTTATAGACTCATAGACCAAATGTCAACTAGCCAGATCCATTTAACAACAAGTGTTTATTACATCATCGCAATTAGCTAGCTGTGTAATGCACACTTAGAGGAACACTTGTTAACAGCTATTTAACATGTTAAAATAATTGCACATTGTTCTGAAAAAACTACTTGAATTTCCTCCCTATTATTCTAAACAAGTACTTGTATTTCAAGGATGTGTTTGATTTTTCGGTTTTCAAACATAAATAAATTAATAGATCTCCTATTTCTTTCACACATGTTCTTAATTGATGGAGTGTAAGTAAAAGCCAACATGTTTTACACTGTATCATTTAAAAGTATTAATGAAAGAAAACTGATGACTATGAAAGAGTCTATGATACATTAAAACATAATATGCATTCAAACTTGCTACATTGAGAGATTTTTGCACTGTACCAGTCCCTCATCAATCTTAATGAAATGCAAGCTTTGAAATTGTATACACATCTTTCAATGAACAGGGAAAATTTATCAAAAATACTCTTTTTATGTCCTTGGATTCAAGTGGGAGATTTATCAAAGATTTTCGATAACAAACATATTTCGGCAAACAGCAAACACTTGTCAGCCCCATAAAAACATGAAACAGCACTTTTATGTCCGCACTCTTTAAACAAAATGTTTTACAATAGAATCATGAATACACAACAAAACATGGAGATAAACGACTAATTTGGCTTGTTTTAGCTTAACTGTGTGGAAATTCAGCTTATATTTTGTATTTCATCTTGTTTCAGTAGTTTGACATTTAAACCTTATTGGACTTTCCTGTTCATTATATTCAAGGTCACACCAAATGCCTAGAAGCAGAGTTCTATTGATGATTACAGAAATCAAAACTGGAAAGTTAGGTTTTTATGAATCACAAAACTTGAAAGAATCAGACATTTTGCTTACTAAGAACAACGATTCTTCAAAGCTAGACATTATTTTTTCCCCTTATTGGTTATGTTTTCATCATATTTACATTGTCCCTGTCGAAGTACAATAGGTACACAGAGATTTTTCACCTTATATAACAAAGGCCTATAAAAGGTTTTATCCCAATTGAAATTTTCTTTAAAATCATGCAGTTTTCCCAAAAATCTGAATTTACCCCAGGTTTCGTACATCCCAACTGATCAATATTTGCAATAATTTTTCCTAAAAACAAGAGGGTGAGAAAAATGTCGGGCCCACTGATTACCATTCAAAAATTATACCATATCAGTAGTACACAAGTACCTAGGGTGAACCAACAACCTTCCTAAAGCTTCCATACACAAGCGAAAGATTTCTGGCACAATTAAAAGCGAGTGATAAGGTTTTGATATTGGTGGGGGTGTTGGGGGCTGATGTGGGTGATTGTCAGTTGGGGTGATTGAGGGAGTCTGAGTATGATAGTGTTGCTTATTGATTTTGCAACAAATGCTGTTTCATATATTTTACCTAAGATACCATACTGTTCACACATAATAAAACATATATTGTTCTCTTACATTACAAATTTTATCACCCCATTGAGCAAAAACATTAAAGCAAGGGGGGTACAATAAATGGATCATTCTCCTGTTTTATACATGAGCTAACAGTAAAAGATCAATCAGAGACTCAAATTTTGGGATATAAGCCAACTTCTCAGGCTCTCTTGAGATTTGTTTCAAGTCAATGTCCCAAAATAGACAATGATACTGGCTTTTTAACTGTTTTATAAAAGTCAATGCCCATAAAAAAAAAACAGGTCAAAATAACCATAAATCTATCCATAAAAATCTATGCTAACGTTAGCTAAAGAACTTTCTACTTCAAAAAATCTGACATTTTGCAGTATTGCTTAAATCGGAATGAACTTTTGACCAAAACAATATGCCAAGGGATGTAACTCTATACCTAACTGGATAAAAAATTAAAAATAGCATTGGGCTTTATCTTTGAAGCTTATCAAACTATTTTAATTGCTTCCTTGAAGTGTTTTCTGTAAAAATAGTTTAATTGGCCAACAACATATTACAAGGACGTTGAAATCTGAATGTAGTACTTTGAGGAGAATGCTAATGAAACTACAACTAACTGCCTGATTTTTATTTTAAAGCAAGTCTCTAAATTCAATTTAATATATATAGAGACCCACCTTCAACAGAGGTTAAATCTGAGGGTTGCAGTCTCTGTAGCTTGGCATTTATCTTTAAGGCCTCAGCTTTGACACTTTATTAACCCTTAAGCAGACTAAAGTTAGGTTTTTTGACCTAACAGGACTGGAAATATTTTTTCAAGACTTGTGTACCATTTGATAATCTGGACTTTTGTGCAAAATTTCAAATCATTAAATTTTGCTCTCTCCATTTTTTTTTCAACCAGAATTAAAATTGACATATCAACAAATGTTGAAAATTTTATGTTTGTAGGCTTTTGAACATTAGTGGAGTTCCTTGAACTCCTTATACTTGTCTTAACAAAATAATCAATCAAAGAAAAGAAGAAGCCTTACATCCAGTTCCTACAGCACCCTGAGAGAACTTGTGGTTAGGCAGTAGCAGGTTTGAGATCTGTTGTAGAGCCAGTAGACTGGCAGGCGCGTTCCCTTGCCTCAACTGTTCATCAACGATCTCTTCCAATTCTTTGCGAAACGCCTCACTATTGAGGATCAGCGAAACTCGACTCCGGTCCGACATCTGTTTGATGTCCTCCTTTACTTCAGCAGGACGTTGTAAATTTTTCCTATACTCCGCATCGTCTGGATCTGGAGGGAAAAATAATTCAATATTTGAAAATAATATCTTTATTTATTAAAATCAAAAACAATTCTTTAATGTCTCTATGTCTGAACTCTCTGAGATTTAACAGACCTATCCAACCAGTATAAAAGATCTCCGAATTTTTTGCACATCAATGCAGCAGAGATCGAAAATTCCACTTATCTACTCCTAATTACGAGTAAAATTTAAGAAAACTTGATACGGGACGAGTAGAAAAATGTTGCCTGCACATTGGATTTAGAAGCTACACAAGTAACTCTGAAAATATTTTTCGATGCCTTTACAACTTGGCCAAACTTCATACAGTAGACTGCTCAACATTCAATATTGTGGTATAAAAAGAATTGATGAAAACTCGATACAAGACAAGTAGAAAAATGTTTCCTGCAAGCTACTTATCCTGCAGGACAAGTGACTCTGAAAACATTTTCCGATGCCTGTACAGCTTGGCCAAACTTCATACAGTAGACTGCTCAGCTTAAATATTGTGGTATATCAAAATCAAGGACAGTTGTATATTCAAAGCAGATTAAGGCTGTACATTACAAAATTCAAATAACTGCTCCGAAAATATTTTGATTCTTTGAAATATACAAAATTAATGTTAAAGCTGTATAAAAGAAAATTCTTACAGAATGGAAAACATGTTCATGGAAAGTGCAGCAATATGTACCTTACTAAAATAGCTATTAATGAAAGCAGATAACTTTAACAGCGAATTAGCAGACAACATTACTGTAAATGGGGACGGTGATGTATAGAAATCAGACATTTGACAACTTTAAAACTTGATGAAAACAATGCACACTGTCTGTAAAACAGACATGTTTAATTGTTTTTGTTTCACAAGTATTTCCTTGATCTGCACACAGACTACTATAATGCTGGGCGGATATATCTCTAAAGCAAGGAAATAATAGCAGCTACTTTGAGTACTTTGATTATGATCTATTACCTCGTTATTGAGGCAATCAGAGATGAGTAGTTGCCTTTGTAATCGCGCATACATAATAACTTCATTACTTCACCAGGATATTAACAGTCAGGTTAGATACATATCAACATGGTGAAGTCATGCAGTCATAAAGTCTGTATAATAATCTACTAAACACTGTCCATGTACATTGTACAAATTAATTCTCTCAACCATTTTTTTTTGCTTGTTTTTTGTTTTCCATCATGTACAGCACCAGTTTATAGCTGAAAACCAGTTCTAACATGGTTACTTTCTAAAAGTAACAGCTTTTTTCTAATAAATCATTAAATTCAAACTCCAGTTTACATTCTTGTAACTTGAATTTAAAGTCACACCAACAAGGTAAAGGTCATATGATGACTTTTCAAGCAATACTGTTGGAAAAGCCTAAGGTGCCCCTCGTTGTTTCAAGGATGAATGGTCACCAGAGTAGACTGGCCGATCTTTAGTAACCTAGCTCAAAAACTTCCTCTCATGAAAACATCTGACATACCAAAATGAATTTTTTTCCCCTTTCTCTTAATCAACAAATTTATATCCCTACATATACCCATTTTAGTCACCTGAACACATAGTCAACAATCTGAATTCATCAACACTATACAATGACTAATGAAAACATACAATGTACATATATACATGTACACCTCGAAAAGTGCAGTTGTGAAACCTACAAAAAACATAAAAGCCATGTTTCGTGCCTTTTAATTGATGTAAAATCTCATTAACTATTGTTAGGCAGACACATAATGCATACCGATGACCAAAAAACACAAAATGTGAAACCACATGGGGAGAATATGATCTGCAATATATTCACTGCCCATGATAAGTATGGTGAACACAGACGCATTAATGTAGCCTCATATGCATAAAACAAGCAAAAAAACTTGTGCACACAGTATCACAAGGTCAAATTAATCATGGAATACAATCTGGCAGAATGATGTACGTGACATGAACATACATCTCTTAAACCTGATTGATGTTGAAGACTTTACATACAAAACACATCAAAAAGGAGAACCTTCCCACTTTTATGCAAAATCAAAGTTCTGATAATAGTGGACTAAATATCTTTGACTTTTACTGTTTGACCTTCTCTGTTTTGAAACTTGATACAGTCAATAAGCATAGAACCCAATCAGACTGCAAAGACTGGCCTGGCTCCATGTAACATTTGGTAGACAGTGGCTCAGACAAGACATTATTATTCAAGATTATACAATTATGACATTTATTCCAAAATTGCCTTTTCTTTTCAGTTTCTAAGAATTCTTGTGTACCAAAGAGCTAGAGAGATATATAATTAAGGACTGTAAGATCAATATGCATAAATCTATCTTAAATCGCATCATTTAGCTATAGAGATTAATTAAAGGTTCCAAATAGCATAGTTTGCCTGTCATAACGAACATCCTGCCATTTACTCTTTTATTAAGTCGCTTTTTTGGTTTGCACTATTGGGTTCTTTTTTCTTTTAATTTTTGTAGTAATTTCTTAGAAAATTAGTTACAATAAAATTTGGCTCTCCAAAGGTCCCAAGTCATTTTTGCTCTCCAAAGGTCCCAAGACATTTTTGGCTCTCCAAAGGTCCCAAGTCATTTTTGCTCTCCAAAGATCCCAAGACATTTTTGGCTCTCCAAAGGTCCCAAGACATTTTTGGCTCTCCAAAGGTCCCAAGACATTTTTGGCTCTCCAAAGGTCCCAAGACATTTTGGCTCTCCAAAGGTCCCAAGACATTTTTGGCTCTCCAAAGGTCCCAAGACATTTTTGGCTCTCCAAAGGTCCCAAGACATTTTTGGCTCTCCAAAGGTCCCAAGTCATTTTTGCTCTCCAAAGATCCCAAGACATTTTTGGCTCTCCAAAGGTCCCAAGACATTTTGGCTCTCCAAAGGTCCCAAGACATTTTTGGCTCTCCAAAGATCCCAAGACATTTTTGGCTCTCCAAAGGTCCCAAGACAAACAGGATATTTAATATTTTAGTAAAATAGTTCATTATCATCACTTGCATTTTATCATGGCCTAATAAACAGAGGCATTATTGTCAATATTACTGTGAATATTTTAGAAACTAAAATATCCTGCTAAGAAATCAGGCTACCTGGACTATCTACAATGCAAAAACCTATAAAACATCACTTAACACAGTGTGAGTATCTTTTGCTTGCAAGTTGACGTTAAACAAAGACACATTTCTTTCAATATTATTGATCACACTATCAGTTATAAATGATTCTTTGCAATACAAAGAAAACTGAAACCTGCCTGAAGGGGAGCTGAATCTGCAGTCTAGGGTGGATAACTTACTGGTGCCTGCCTATTAAACCAGGCAGTGCCAGGGATTAGAGGTTTAAGCCCAAATTGGGTCACCCATTGATTAATTACAGTACTGCTAAGTTCTTAGAAGTATATTTGAGAGTGGTTTATATAACTTACAAGCAGTTTTTCACACAATGAAACAAAAGCAAACATATGATTGGAAAGATGAATATGAAAAAAATCAACTATATTACACATCAACACCAGGGCAGTATTTAATCTCAAGAAAAACTGACGCAAATCTTCATCTACAACATTTTGTCTTTGTTAGAAACAATCAACATCTTCCTAGTACAATTAAGGATTTTTTTAACACATCATTAAACAAATAAATGTCTTTATCAACAGCTACAATAATAAACAAATCTCCAATCAGGAAATCTTAATGGGCTTTCTACAGTTGTTATTGTGAAGATTTGTTCTTTCATTTTGTTCTTTTATGCTGTCAGTCAATGTAAGATCTGTATCTATACACACTCAATATAGCTAGACTAAAAGCTATGGTATACAAAGTGAAATATGAAAACCCAGACAAAGTGCTAGATCAGAGCAATTTTAAATGACACAGCATTAATAATTCCTGTGTGCAGCCAACATCAGAAGAAATCAATTGAATATTCAGCATCAACATAGAAATAAGTAGCATTTTTGAACCAAAATAACCCTTCAGTTCAGGGGTGGCTTGGTGGCTTGAGGCCAAAATGACATTCTCAAATACATTTTGGCAGCCTATAAACTTAGTAAACTTTGTTGTGAATGAACCAAAATATGACCTCCTCAAATTCAAAACGGAAAGTCTTTGAAAACTTTTTAAGACAACCCTGCAATTATATTAAATCATTTATAGATGAAAGTGGCTACTTAATACTGTGCCCAAACTTAACAGTGGTGCTTCACTGAATTATCAAGCCATGGATACTTGATACCTGCCACCCCTACCAAACTGACTCAAGCTGGGCTGACTTACGGTAAGTCCCAGAAATACATGCTGAGCATCTAAGTCAAAGGTGCAGTGATATTCCATATTTAAACACTTATAATTATATATGCACCTGAACACCTTAAAACACTATTAATCAACAAAGCCCAATATAAAACGATTAAGATCGGATTTAAATAAACAATGATAATCCCATTGCATGCAGCTTGTAGTGCCCAGCTAAAATCTTGCTATATTTAGACAATAAATAAATCATATTAATGAGTCATAGACTTTATGTTATGAATAATCCTGTTTACTCACACATTTTAAGCTGTTAACTTATAAAATTCTTTTTTCTGAAAGTTACAAGATTACGGCAACTTAACTTGTCTTCAGATTAAGAATGACGGGGGTGTTACCTTTTACCCTACCCAAGATGTGTAATGGATTTTAATTTGGAACTATAATTGCTAGATCTAAAAGTGTAAAAAAATGTCATACTCCTGAGTAATAAGATTATCATTGAACAATTCATATTTCATAGAAAGTGATTTCCCAGGGCATGGTTAAAGCTTAACGATTTCAGTACATTTTTAATTATTAATAAATGTCCGAATTTTCAGTGAACAGTCCACTCAAAATTTAAGGGACTTTAGTATCAAAATACAAGAGCCTGATCAGATTGCACAGATGTTCAGGCTGGCCTGGCTCTATATATATGTATTGGTGGCATCTATGCAACCAATATATAATGACTTTTTGTC